AGGAGGAGGCTCTTGGGATGTTGAGCCTCAGCTGTGCGGAGGGAGAATGACTGGCTGATGGTGAGGAGACTGAGGGAGAGAGAAGGGGAGAAGGGGAGGGCTCTCTGCTCTTTTTTGTATCTGAGTCACAGTGACGACGATAGCTGACGACACTCGCACACACACAGACACTCCAACCCTCCAACACCACCTCCACCTTCATACACACACTTCCTCTCTCTGTTTCCTGGCTTCTCTTACACACACACACACACACACACACACACACACACACACACACACACACACACACACACAGTGCAGTGGAGCAGAGGAGCTCTGCACCCTCCTCATTTAGAGTCTCATCATCTAAAACCTCTCCTTGGAGCCAGACTTCCAAGAAGAGAGAAAGGGAGGAGGCTGTGCTTGGGGGAAGACAGAGGAGAAAGAGCAGGAGGAGGGAGTGGTGGTGGTGGTGGTGGTGGTGCTGGTGGAGAAAATCCTCATCAGCTTTGCCATGAGATTAGCTGTGTTCCAGTGATAACAGGCAGTTTTACCACAAGGGAGATGTTCAGTCCGAAAAACAGCAGAATCATGCTGATGGAGTCTGAATGGTGAAGGTTGGTTTGAGCACTGAAGGTCAGTCAAGTACTCAGAGCCTTCACTCAACTGAAAGTAACAATACAACAGTGTAAAATACTCCAATACTCCATTTCAAGTAAAAGTCCTGCATTTAAAATTCCACGTCAAGTAAAAGCAAAGAAGCATTATCAGCTAAATGTATTTGTATCAAAAGTATTCAAAGTAAAATTATTAATCTTACATATTGCGATAAAGTATCATTATTATTAATATTAATACTAATGCATCAAGTCTCACAAGTGCCACAAGATAAATCTGAGGGGTAGTGAGATGATTAATAAGCGAGGAAAAAGTTTTGACACATGTAAATCTGTTTTCAGTTTTTCGACTTTTCTCTCAAGTCTTAGATTTTTTTTGTCTTGGGGAAATATTGGAAAGCTTGAACAGAGTTTTGACAGGAAACTTATTTTTGGTGCAACTACTCATAGACCATTGAAACGTGACAGGAAGCACCAATGACACACTGGTTCATTATAAGGAATTGCAAGCTAAAAAGACTGGAAACCACTGGTTTAATTTCCAGAAATATATTTTATAAGCTCATCAAATGGTTTAATGTCAGATTTAAAAAGGTACAGTATTTTTATTTTGAGACTAACTCAAAAAAATCTGAATAAATTTGATTTGAATAAATTAACTTTTTGAGTGAATTGCTGAGAGTTCACATAAAGGTTCTGTAAAAAAGATCATCACTGCCACTAGATGTAGCACTAGACCACAAGCATCTCAGACCAAAACAAATGCTTGGTGACCGGCCTCCCTTCGGCCAGAACTCCCCCTTCACGTCCTCAGTTAGCAAGGTGCTACAAAGACAGTGAAAGCAGCCACTAAACACATAACAAAAAGCACAACTAAATAAAGTTACAACATGTACCATGTACACAAAGGCCAACAATAAACAATCCAAGTAAACAATTAGCCCAAGCTAGCATTGCCGTGATATGCTACAGCAATGCTGGCAGTAAGCCAGCTAGCTATAGCAACATTTGTTAAGTAAATTCATAATAATGTTAACAGCAAATTAGCTAATGTCACAACCCCTTCTGTAGCCTTCATTAATGAAAACAGACATGTAACATTATGTAGCCATGAAGTTACTTACATGTCCACGAGAAGAAAAGCCAGTTCAGGGTCGAGTTGGAGCTCTTTAGCAGCTTGTAGGGTTCTCCTCTTGGTAAAGCCTGGCTCCATGGTCAGATTGGAAAAGAAATTCAGTCTTGGACTTATCCGGTGGGATGGGGCACACTCATGACACTGACAGAGCCGGTAAAAACTTTTTGGATGTTCTGGGGTCCACCAAATGACTGTGATGTAAACCAGTAGTCCCCATGGTCAGCCAGCCTGCCTGTGCTCTGGTCTTATCTCAATCTTTGTAAGAGGCCTTTTTAGCTCAAAAAATAGTTTCTTCAGTCGTGGAGGAAATTCTGGGAGGTTGCTTTCGCCTGAACCCTGAGTACTGCACTGTGCTATCTCACCTGTGGGCGGTGCCTGGGTGTTCATAGACATGGGTAAGACCAACAGTTTAACAGGTAAGACTCGTGTACAAACACTAACATGCAGATGCTACCAGTCACCAAAAATAATGAATAGAGAAACTCAAATTACAACACACACAGAGGGGGTGTGACTTCATTCTCTGCTCAGGACGCCATTACTCCACTATACATAGAAAATAGCTGCTGTATTGTTCAAAATCTTGTTTATAGAACCAGTAAATGAGTTGATTTTTCATTTTCTAAACTCACAGGAGGATTTTGACCTACTGATTAAACCTAAGTTTATTTAACTCAAATTTTTAAAGGCAGCAGAGGAACTTGTGTTAAGTTGAACCATTTTTAAATGCTCTACAGTGGCTGTAGGATGCAGTCCCAAAGGTCAGAGATCATCATTCATCATGTGATTATCTTGTTACAGTTGTGAGTGATCTGAGTAAATAACTTGAGGTGAAAATTGAAATTAGAATTCAAGTTTTTATTTCCATGGTCAAGTCTCATTAATCACAAAAGCAAGAGTTAGCTCACTTTTTATGAGCATGAACCCACGGATAACAGAAATGTTTTGTTTATTGGAAAAGAGGAAAACAAGCACTCGTTTTCAGCTTTTACAGGGCCACACACAACTACAATGTTTTATAGTAGTTTCTGACATACTGCAGTTGGTGTTCAAAAGCATTTTTTGGGGGGTGGATTTTGTTTGTGTACAAAGTCCCTGATCTTAAGTAATGCTTCTTCGTTAAAATCCTGCAGTGGGTGGTCACAGAGGTTTTTTCATTTGACTAAATAACCGATTACAGATCAGTATTTTGTCAAGGACACTGAACATTAAAGGGGCAGTCCACCAAATTAACATGTCAAAGCCAATATACTAGTCATGGAGAGTACAACACAGCCTGAGATGAGGGCATTTACCAGACAGATGCTTTTGAGCTGCATTATGGGAAGTATACCATCCAGCATTTTTGGAGCCCATTTTTTTTAAACCATACTAGGGACTAAAAGTCAGGCCATTTGTCTCTCGCATGTCCAATGGGAATTTGCTGGAATGAGCCTTTAATTTGTATGAATGTGTGTAATTTACTAATCACATATCCTAACTTTTTCAGGCTGAGAATTTTAAAAAGAATTAACTCTGTCAAACTGCACTACTTAAGAAATATATTACATTAACTTCTTGACCTTGTCTCCCTCATCTCTCTATTACAGTCTAAAAGGCTGGTGTGTGAGATTCACAACCTGTTTTCTAGATTAAGTAGTTGGATGCCTCAGTGGGAGGGGTGCTGTTGTAGCATGCTCAGTATGATCAATATAAAAACCCTGTGGTTGATAATGAGATGTTGGTTTTACCCTCTGGCCTCAACTTTTCCATTTTCATAATGAATTTTCCCACAGTGCAGTAAATCTGTCACCTTACACCACTCACTGAACACAGGTACTGCAGCAGACAGAAAACTCATGGTGCCTGGAGTTTTTTTCTGCTTAAAGAAAAAAAAAAAAAAAAAGAACAGAATCAGTCAGCCCGTCTGAGAGAGAAAAGCCATAGGGGTCATAGCAGAACATTTTCAGTACAGTTGATAAAAGTATTCCAGTAAAAATGGGTTGAACCACTTCGGTCATGGTTATTTCATCACCCACACACATCTTGTGTAATGTCAAATCCACTGCTAAGCTTTTTCTTGTTTTTAAGAGACCCAGCTTAAGAACCAATGCTGCTGGTAAACTGTGCTGAGATCTAAAGGGCAACATTCCAGGTAAGTCAAATAATTCAGCTTTGACACAGTGTCCATGGCAACTGACCTAAACTTGTGCACAGTAGAGTCCAATGGAGGACCCGAGTGTGTCAAGATTTGTTCTGAAAAAGATCTCTAACTGATTAGTTATAATCTTTAAGAAGACCCACTGAAAACTGTTCTACTGCATGCATCTCAAAGGACCAACCTGCTGTAAAAGTAATGTGGTAAAGCGATGGAGGGATGGATAAATAAAACTAACAATGAACAAAGATGAGTCAAACAGTTACTTTATTTATGTTCAGGTAAAAACATGAACCTGATGCAGTAAATTATTGCAGATCTTAGAAACCAGCACATGAACGATTGGGCCAGGAGAGCATACAGTGGCGCCCTCCCCTGGCCACAGACTGCAGGTGCACACCACGGTTTGTTCCAAGCCAGCAGTGCAAAGAAAAAAATTATAATAATCAACTACAGCAAGAAATAAAGACAATATAGAAAATTAAAAAAAAAAGGTAAAGCAGATATTCCCACCTCAAACAGGGTGTGAAACTGCATATAAACTTTATTCCATAAATGAACTTGAAATGCTATCTGGCCATGAAACGATAAAATGAGACCAGCCAAATTTTGTGCCCAGCTACATTATGTGTTGAGGGTTGCTCAGAGCTTGGTCTACCAACCCTACACATCAGGTAGGGCCCAACAGAAAGACACTAAACTCTATCAAAATAGGAGCAAAACAAATTTACCTGATCAACACACTGGTTACAACTCTTCATTTGAGCTGAAGCTCTCTATAATAAGGAGGCCAGAACACAATCTCAACTTGGGTAGGGGAAAGAAAAAAAGATAATATGCGCTCATCACTACCCGCATTCAACCAACTGCAACTCTCGTTTCCACAACTTGAAGCAAAGACACACAGGGGGGGAAAGCCGAACCAAAACGCAACACACAAACTGGGGCCAATATAATACAGAACAAAATGCGAATGGACGAACTGAGGGGAAGAGACATGAGAACAAAGAGCTATTCTATCAAATGTGTAGAATGAGCAAAGTCTGCAAATTTGTCTGTACAAATGATCTTTGGAGCTAAAGTAAACCTAGCTTGCTCAATGGACACCCCCCGCCCACCCCCACCCCCCTTCATCCCCGACACCCAGTGACATTGTCCACCACTCTGGAGAGGAGACATCCCTTTTTTTAAATATCACATAGCAATGCAATTTAAAATGTCACCCAGATGTTTTCATCTTTTTTAACATTACTCAACTACTGATATAAGTTTTACTCTCTTTTTTTAATATTTTAAGTTCTGTGAGTCATGGAACACCTTTCCATTTTTTTATTTTTTATATTTTTTTTTTGAGAGACAGGGGCAGCAAATATATATTTAAAGTCTTAATTTTTCTGCAAGCTGCTTTCTCTAACAAGAAGGCTGTACACGTAGCCTTAATGTATGTGATTACAAAAAAACTAAGAAGGAAGTCATGATTTCATCAATCGCTGTAGAAGGCATTTGAATGTGAGATGTGGAGAGATCAGGAAAGGTGGAAAGACTGCTGGCCCTCGCGAGCTGCAATCAACAGTTTCTCTCGCATGATCTCTATGCTGGAGTAGTCAGGCAGCTTCAGGTAGTTGACGCAGGTCATGACTGAGGGGAGGAAGTCATCCGGGTTCTCTGTCGACTCGAACGTCTTCCTCACAATCGTCAGAGGGGGATTCAGGCTCCGGAAACCTGAGAGAAAGAGAAATACCAGGGTCAGCGCAACATGCCATCACAATACTTTTGTAAGCTCTAAAAGAAATCTAATATTGGCCAGTGCTTTGTTTTTTAATTCAGTGATTCCTATAAATAAGAATATAAGTGTGTATCAGGACTCACCTCCGACAGGCAGTCTGGGGCTTCCTGTGACGAACTGCAGGAAGAGTCTCTGCTGCTCGGCATCGAAGCTGCTCAACACCTCAAACAGGAACCGAACTGCACGGCTGCAGAACAATGAGATGAAATATGCATCAGCAATGGGTCTTGAGACTATGGTTTACCTATACCTATAATGTGTCATGTAGGAAGTAAGACAGAAGCTAGAACCCATATTTTATGGTGCTCCACACTGCACTGAATAAATTATCAGGTATAGGTTTCCAGTTTTTGATGGTGGTAAACTTGTACAACCAACCACTGTTGACTCAGGAGCTAACAAAATGGTCAGTGTTGGTCATAAATGCAAATTGGATATGGTGTTTCTGACGTGGGTCTGCTATGGCTGCCTCAGATGGTATACTGTATGAGATTCACAATAAATTAAACACAAATTGAGACTCATTATATTTTAGTGTTATTGGTTTGACGGTCTCACCTGTCATGTGTGTAGCCGTGGTCCGGTCGACAGCACTCCATCAGCGTCTTGACGTCCCACGTCTCTGATTTACTGCCACACAGCAACTGGTCAAGCTACGGCAGGAGAGGAGAGACAATGAGCAATTAAAGAACATGGGTAGCGTTTTTGTTTTACCAGTATAAATGATTGATGAAGAAGGAGAAAAAACTACAAAAATTCTTACCTCCTCTGGATAGAAATACTGCAGGTGATGCAAAGGGAAGACTGACTCAAACCCTTCCCTAAATGACTCAAATTGCCTGGACACTCCTTCATTTAAAGTCCAGTACACCACCAACTAGAGGAAGAGAAATGGCAAAGTGGTACAAAAGATTAATGTTAAGAGGAACAATAGCAAGTGGCAAAAAGTTGGAACCAGAAAGAGATAGAGTCACATACCCTGAGGTACTCCTCCAGGTTGTAGATTGTGACTGGGACGTCTTTGCCGCCCTTTTTCAGCTCAATGTTCGGGAATCCTGGGAGGGTGAAATCCAAACCCAGTTCCTCCACTGAGCAGCCGTTCATGTTCAGGCTCTCCAGTGCCTGCTGCAGGGTCTCCCTTGTCTGACACGCACAAACATAGAAAAACACAGGTGCTAAGAGACAGGTGGAGAAACAGTGATGCAGACTTGCATGTGAACGTATTGCTGGAACGCTACAGGTATTTTTTATTTTTTGAGCTGCTGCCAAAAACATGTGGTAGCTGTTATCAGCTTTGATAATCAATGTCAATTTTGTCAATGGAGACTGATAACTTTACAAGGCAGATGCTTTCATGCAACCGACCAAAATGTGTTAGAAGAAAGGTCCTCACTTTTGATCTTTCGGAGCAGAGTCCAGGTGGTTCTGCTTTTACCTGTGATCGGTCCTGCTCCAGCCTCTTCTTCTGGCGGATAATATCCTCCAGGTGCTGGATGGACTTGGCCACACTGGGATCAATGTTCACCAGGTCATGGGAGCTTATAGACATCTCGTGCCGCAGCATCCACTTGTAAAACGGCAGCCCCAGGGGCAGGTCCAGCTGGGAAAAAGAGCAGGAGAAAAAGTGTTTCATTAAGTCAGGTAACAACACAAACATATTTTACAGATGACACATGTACAGAAAAAAGTAAGTGATCACTTCAATTCTACAACAGTATTGTCTGGACATAGAGTGAACTACATAAGGTGCAAAAATGGACACATCTCATCCACAATGAAAGAAACCAAAGACTTGAAACTACTGCATGTCTAAATAAATTTCATTTAGAGTTGGCAGAAGGGCATTCCTGAATGCTTATGCTCAGTTAAAAATATGAGCCTATTAGCTAAGACAGAAGTCATTACCAGTCTGAAATCCATAATGGCTTTGGCCATTAGCTTTCCTAAGAAACGGAACTTCATTTTGATTTTGGCTATGTGTGCTGGTTTGGTTGTCCTGCCAAAGGGAACAGCAAACAGTCCTCTGGAGCTGAACATGTACTTAGTTCCCTCTTGGCTTCCTGTTGGGCAGAGAAAAAAGGTATGGTCAGAGTCAAGTCAGGTAAAAATACTACAGTGTACTGGGTACCATCACATTTACATATAAAAATACAAGCTTTTACATTTACATTCAGTGCAGATGTATTACAAGTGAAAATAAGTAAAAGCAAGCCTGACATGCTGTTCATCATTTCTTATGTGTGTCTTAGGTTGAATGCATAAGGTGATACCTTTAGGATTGGCCAGAGTGACCTCTTCGCCCCTCCACAGGCCAAGGTCGGCCCGCTGGAGCTCTTGAGATACCAGAGCATAGAACTCCAGAGTCGGGCCAAGGCCTGTGCCAACCTGACAGAAGATAAAAATTAGATTCCAAAAATGCTTCCATCAAAGTGCGTGTCTTGGAACAATTCAGGTATTAAAAAACTGAAGTACCTCATTCTCATACTGAATCTCCAACATTGCCCTGGAGCTGCCAAGGTCCTGCATCACAGACTCAGCTTGTTTGAGAAGCTCATCTCGGTTTATCGTCCTCTGAAAATGCAAGACAAGAGAGGAAAGAGGGTTAAATTCAGGTCTCCTTAAAAACAATTATACAAATAGGTACCGAAATTTCACAAAGTAAATTAAAAAAATTAAATTATTGGAAACACACAAATTATTAAAGAATACATTTCATTAAATGTTACAAGTGCAGCACTTCTATGTGGCAACACACAGCACCTTTTTCCTGTCAAGACGTGGTGCAACTCTGCTGTCCTGAGAATCTGATTGGTTGATCTCAGGGTTTGTGTCCAGTAGGCGTTGCATGGCTCTGTCGCGATCAAAGGCAGTTACGTAGAATAACATCTGCCGGGTGTCAAAGGGAAAGAAGAAAGGACTACGGAGAGAGAGAGACAGACAGAGATAGAGAAATATTTAACTACTAACTAACATGAGCCAAATATATCAACATCTGTTTTGAAGTCAAACTGTATAATACAGGTGAAAGAACAGTTTCTTATTCCTCACAGGTCAACAGTATGAAACACTTACCAGGTCTTTCCAAGCTCGATGAGCCAAGTAGGGATGTTCCCCGTCATGATGACCAGCGGGTCTTGTAGCTGACGGTTGGCTTTGGCTGTCAGCTTACTGTTAATGAATTCACTGGTAGGGATGATTTCCTTACACACAGCATTCTGCAAAACAACCAAAAATATTCATTTTATTTTATGTCATGAAACTATAACTGATACTAATTGCATGTAGGCCTGGGACAATATATAAAGAGAAAGCCATACATTTGGACAAGATTCTTAATTTATTATCAAAACAATGTTAAAATAAGTCTGTTTATGTGTATATTTTGAGAACTATATGTAATTTTTTACAGCTTAAGGAGCATCATTTTAATTATTCATTCACCCAACATTTAGGAGTCTGGTACAATTTAAGTCACTGCTTTACATTTGTAATTCTTTGAGAAGGAGACTTACATCATATAAGTAGAACCAGTATCTACTGATGGAGTGCAGGACCCTCAGCAGCAGGTTGACCTCTAAAGAGGGGTCATCAAAGGTTATGGTCTCTGGTGGCTCCGAAGTGAGGTATGTCTCTAAGGGATTGATGACGCTGGGACACACACCATCTGGAAGTGATTGGAATTAACAATAGTAGTTAAAAGGTTCTGTAAATTTCAAACAATAATATATAGCAGGAAATTACGATTTTCTATATAAAGATGTAGTGTAGTAATGGTGTCCTGAGTAAAGAACGAAGTCACATCCCCTCTGCATGTGTTGTAATCTGAGCTTCTCTGTTCTTTGTTTTGGTATCTGGGAGGGCGGCACGCGCATGTGCCCACGTGTGAGATGGCACAGTGCAGTACGCAGCCTTCAGGTGAAAACGATCTTCAAGAATTTCTTCCATTGAAGAAAAGGCCTCCAACAAAGAAAGTGATAAGACCAGAGCACAGGCGGTCTGACCAAAGCTCAAATTCCAGTCAGCCGGTGGACCGTTAAAAAGTCCATTTAACTTTTTAAAGTTTTTACCGGCTCTGTCAGTGTCATTCCTGTGGCCCTGCCCAGGTGTATAACTCCAAGGCTGAATCACTTTCCTGGTCTCCTGGTCTGTGGAGCCAATTCTGGTCTGCCTTTACCAAGGACAACCCTATGAGCTGCTAAAGGGCTCCAGTATGACTCCGAGCTGGCTTTTCTCTCCTTGATGTGCAAGTAACTTGATGACTACATAATGCTACATGTCTGTTTACATTAGTGACCAGCTAAAGAAGCATGATAACATTAACTAAATTGCTGTTACTAATATTTTGAATTTATTTGGCAAATGTCGCTAGCTGGCTTACTGTCAGCATTACTGTGAAGCATATCATGGCAGTGCTAGCTTGGGCTAATGATTGTGGCTTTTTTTTTTTGGCTCTGGTGTACTCAGGGTAACTTTATTCAACTTCTTGTTGTCAGCTGAGTGGCTGTTTTCACTGAGCTCTGACTCAGAACGAGAAGGAGGATGTTGTGGCCAAAGGGAAGCCAGAGGTGTGGCTGAACAAAACATTTGTTTTTGGACCGAGATGCTCATGGTCTAGTGCGACATCTAGTGTCAGTGACGATCGTTTCACAGACCCTTTAAGTAAGAATTTCCAAGTAAAAATGAGCCCATGCCGTGACAATGTAGAAGCTGAGTTAAACAGTACAACGGTTCATATATGACCAAGTAAAGAAAGAAATAGATGCAGCATGTTTTTCCTAAATCTGCACTGGATCAGGAGCTATAATTTTCCAGCGTTAGACAACAATACTTAAACTAGCATGAGAAGCTCTTCACTATGGGATATATCGAATTCTCACCATGCCACAGCTCATCCTGCTTCTTGGCGTTGCGAGGTGAGGTTTTGGTGGGAGCAGTCTGGGCTCGACCCCTCTTTCCACCCACAGCATCTTTGCTACCATCCTCATCCTCTCTCACAGGCTTATACCTGCCGGGAAACAAGAAAGGGCATTTTGTCTCTGGATGCTCTTATTGGCATGTACACTACAGCGTAACAAGTCAGTGTGAAACAAAGTATGTACAATATTTTTGTATTCAACATGTAGACACGTGTTTTGGACACTGATCATTTCAGCTCTTTACCTTTGTGACAGGACTTTGGGTATGTGAACATTTTAAGGAGAAACTGCACTAAAGCCAATAAGCTTTTGCAATTCCAACTAGTGGTAAGTACATGAGCTCATCATACTGTGTAATACAGCACTTCACAGTGCACTGTAGAGTATATCTCAATTATTTATTATTTACACCACTAGGGTAAATGAGATAACATTTTCATTCAACTGACCAAAGACTGGCCAATGAGATTCAAACAACCAAATCCCCAAAAAGTTGCTCTTGTGTTTCAAATGTTAAATTTTGTCAAAAAAGCATTTTTACCATATTGTGTGCGTTTTGGTCCAGATGCCAGCTCGCCCAAGTGGGTTTGCTTCATCGTCCGTTGACTCCCTTTCTTCTTCTGCTTGAAGACTGTACTGCCGTACAGCCTGGTACACTGTCATGTTGTATGGTAGCAGGTGGTCACCAATGTAGAACTGTAGTCTGTGACGCACGCTGCCAGAATTCAGGAACTGTGCCGCCTGGGTATTAAATTATATAGTGTATTAATAATATTAAACTTATATTTCAATACACATATTCACAGAGGATTGTCTGCTTACAAATGAAAAGATAAGCCTTATCTGGCGTAAATGGCCTCACATACCAGTGACTCATCTATTTCATCATCTGAACCGTCATCATCACTGTCTTCGTCCTCTTCTCTGATTCGGCCGTACCCTATACAAACAAGATTTTAAGTTAGCAACCAAACTGTAACCCCAGTGTCCTTCTGGTCTAAGTTTTCTCTGTTTGAGGGGGGCCTCCAGTAATCCCATCTGCATTAAAAAGAGACTTGGCAGTCTATAAATTCTCCAAAACTATGCATGCAGTCCTTCACCTCTGACAACGAGATATCTCTCAATGGCTTGCACCAAGGCCAGGGGGTCTATCTTCACAGGGCCACCTTTCCACTGTTTAACATTAGTGCAATCTGGGTGTCTCTGCAGCTGACACTTGAGCTGATGTGTGTTGAAGAACTTCAGTGCCTGAGAGCCCCTGGAGAGAAAAATTCATCAAATTATACAAATGTATAACAAACAGTATAACTCATAGTGATTAGATATACACTTATGTAAAGCCACAGACCTGCTGCCATTTCCATTGCCACTGGGGAAGTCGTGCACTTTGACAGGGAACTGCTCCATTTGGCTCAGACAGCTGTTCATCTTGTGCACCAGTGCCAGGTAGGGCCCATTCTCCGTTGGGTCTAGACGACCTACAGGCTCCATTCCTGGAACCTACAGGAGGTCAGATTAGAAAGAGGTTAAATTCAACAGGGACAGCAAGACACAGTAAACATAGAGTAGGTCACCAATCCTCCAATGTGTGTGCACAGCAAAACACCCTCCAAGACTGAGCAAAATACAAAATGTGAGAAAGAAAACTGGTCACTGTGTACCATATACCTAACTTTAACAGTTAGGCAGTCTAAATATTTTAAGAAAAATATATATTGTTCTAGTCTCTCACCGGACAGCCAGCAAACACATGGAGGAACCTTTTGAGCCGCACGTCACGACTCAGCAAGTCCCTGTCCGTGTTGGAGGTCAGGTAGACCAAAAGCTGCTTCACCAGCCCACTGTGCTGGATCTCAAAAGACGACACATCCGATTCTGATACAATACTGGAGATCTCCAGCAGGCACTCCATACCACCATCCACCTGGGAAACAGGAACATAGAAGAAAAATGTCTCAGTACTGGAATGTATTTTATACAGACAATCTTTGCTAAATGAATATCCTTTCAATATCAATATCTTTTCTTTCTTTGCCCTGCTTGCATTAACAGGACCTACTAAAGGTTTGTTACATACTAGTTTTATCAATAGAGAGGTCAGCAATCCATGGCCTTAAATTTGTTGAGAATTTTGTTATTTTATGCTTGCTGTTCAATAAATGGATTAATGTATATTTTACCTGCAGGTTGAGCTGCTCAGTGGCTGTGCAAAGTCTCTGGAGTACATTCAGTGCTGGGTTGCTGCCATCCACATTTTCAGAGTTGAAGTAGCGCTCAACAAACTTACTCGCCTGTTCTTTGATCCAGGCCTTTATTTTGTCTCTGCAAAACAATACATAATGATTACATACAGTGATCCACACATTATTCCCACAACCAGTGTCTGATCATTCTGCATTCATATTATACAGATAATCAAGTGCAAGAAAGAGTGTGATTTGGATAATATAGTGGAAAAACAGTAACTTTCTCCAATAATTCATCATCCCACCTGTTATTTGAAATTGAGTCCTTGGGAGGTGCCCTTGCTAGGCCACTGACCCCTGCTGTGCGTGAGGGCTCTGAGTTGGCATTGTTGGTCTGGGCACCCAGCTTGCCCCAGGTCTTGGGATTGAGACTCGCCAAGAAGGATGATTTGGGTGACTGAGTACTTGTAGGGCTCTTGGCTGTAAAGATCCCAAATGTAGATTAGGAGAGTAATCTATGGGAATTTGTAAGAATCTAACCATGACCACAAAATGCCATTTCAACACTTTAACTTACCCTGATTGTCTACTTTATCATCATCTCTTGGAGGGGAGTATTTGGGCCTTCTAGGCCCTCTTTTAGGTAGTCGTTTCCTCTTTAGGACATCACTCAAGCGCCTTGATGGAGGAGAAAATAATTAATATAATGCCCTTGGGGTAAAGAAAAGATCTCTTTGCCCATTCATTACAATAACAACTGACAAACATACATATTAAAATAAATTGATAAAGAGTAGCATACACGATTTGCTGAATAAACACACCAATACTGTCTAATATGCTTAGATTTACATCATCTGGGGATACAGTCTTATTCACATTCCCTGGTCCATGTCTTTTCCACAATCCCATGCCCCATCTGTAGACAGTGTGTCTAATCACTGTCTGATATCCCCTTTATACATTTTGATTTTGGGGCGGTTTACATTCAGTGTAGGATGGTTAAAATAGTTTTTCGGGATAGTTTTGGGACGGTGGAGAAAAAAGTTAGTGTGGAGCCCTGCTTGTATACCTGAATCTGTCCCTGCGGCATCTCTGAGCTCCATTCCAGTTGTTATTCCCTGTAATTATGTTCCTTCTCAGATTCATTGCCCACCTGAGTCTACTCAATTCTTAATTACAGATACCTTTAAGACCAGAAAGGTTTTTGGGCTGATTTATTTAAAAATTAGAAGCCAGACGCCAGCATCAGAAACTTGAATATTTTAGTTCCTCAAGCAGATCCAGATATTTTGGCTCTCAGAAACATGGCTCAAGAAAGACAGTGATTCTGAGGTGGCCATAAATAGTTATGAGTTTTACAATCAACAGAAATGGAAGGGACGGTGTTGCCACTTATGTCAAATTCTTTTCATGCTTATATTCTACATGCTATCACCGTACCCGAATATTTTGAATTTACTGCCATAAAGATAAATTATGGGTCTCTCTAGTTTTAGTTAGTTTAGTTGTCATGGGGATTTATAGACCACCTTCTGCTGATGCTTGATCTATTGATTATTTGGCAGAGTTATTCTCTTGATGTACTAACACAGAAATGATAGATCTGGGAGATTTTAACACTGATTGGTTGTATGCTAATGCTTCTGATTATTTAAAGGAGATCTCCTCCAGCCTCGATTTATCTCAACTGATTAACGAACCCACTATGTCTAATCTAAAGATCCCTTTAAAGATCCACTTTAATTGATTTAATTTTTTCCTAATGGGATGACAAATCACTGCAAGTGGTGCTTTCCATTTAGGAACAAAGCTGAAGAACTTCATCACAAATCATAGTTAAGAGAAATGTAAGAAATTTGAATGAGCAAGCTTTTCTAAACAATCTCTGACAAAAACATTCCTTTCCTTTGTTAACAAGGACCCAACCTTTAAAAAGATCAGGGTGATAATAGAAAATAGATCCAATCCGTGGTCATCCCCTTAACTACCATCATTATTTCTGTCTACAAACAAAGCTTGGTCCCTCACTAGACACACTGAAGAGGAATCCCACTGTGCCTCATTTTGAAAATTTTGAAATAAATGTATGTCCTCTGTGAGAAAAACCTGAATATTACTTTAACTTGCTCTCCAGCTCGTATTCAAACCCAGCAGAATTCTGGAGTGTGGTACAATGTACTAACAAAAATCCCGCTGCCTCCCTACCTTCTCATATCAAATGTAATGATGGATTTTACATGATTGTAATGAGATCTGTTCTGTTCTCACATATTGCACATTTTTTGAGGGTGAGAACAGTGTTGTGGCTTCTTCTAATCATGTCCCTCAGTTCACTCTTGATACTGTCTCTCTCAATGTAGTAATCAAAGTTCTGGACCTCTTTTCCTTCCTCTCTCTGCTCTACTAATTGCCGAGCAAATAACTTGTTTTTTGCCCCTCTTAAACCCTTGGATGCTGTTTATCATTTCGCCTTAAGATTTATCACTTACAGTACTTATCATTGAATCCTGTCTGGAAAAGCTTGGTGGATTTCTGTCTAATAGACATGATGGGCATTTGTATGTTTTTTTTCTTTACAAAGCTCTTATTGGGAAGCTAGTTTCCACACAGGCTCAAGCGCAATCTGCATTTGAGATTAATTCCAGTGTGACACTGAATTTGGGCCTGTGCTAGAGTAGTATTTTTGAAACACTTCCGTAAACAGCCAAACCAAAGCCACATTTGGCCACAGACTCACCCCTGTGGGCTGAGGTCCAGTGAGTCGTCCATGCTGTGCTGGAAGCTGGGTGAGCCCAGGTCTGGAGTTGCATTATTAGTAGATGTGGTGGATGCAGTGCTGATGGTGGTTGTGCACAGACTAGCAGTACCACTAGGGCAAGCCTTAGGGGGACTAGTGACTAGAAAGCTCTCAGACTCTGCCAGGTTCTTCACCTGGTGCATTACACCTGGAATGGAAAGAGAGGCATTACAAACTGTCTAAGGTCTTACACATAATAAACAGCAACTTCTTCCCAATTTGACAGGAGTCACTTGCATCTGTCTGAGGACTGTAGATTAATGTGAAACGCAGGCAAGGAATAATGCACTGGAAAGGAAATGCAAAGGAAAACACTGGCAGCAGTGCATTTTACTGCCAAGATAAAATATTTACAAACTGCATGAAACCATTTGCCTCATGGACTGTTAAGCTTTAGATGGTGGGAAAATATTTTTTGTCTATATGTCGAATGGGATCTCTAGTTGAACAAAACATATTTTTTTAATTTTTGGGTGGATCTCAACCCCTCAAGCTTCCACAGTTTCCATGTGGATAGATGCAGTTTTCAGCTATGAAATTTCCTGACAAAGATTGCCTCATACAAAACATAACAGGGATATAACAAATGTACGACATGTTTGTCATGCAGTTTAGAAGTAGCTCAGGCCAACATTTTTAAATCACTGTAGGCCATCTACTGTGGTGAGCAGACAAGGTGGGACATGGGTTTTCCATGGGATAACACACTACCTTCTCTTCTGAAATAGACGCTGAAGACATCAGGCAGCTTCTGCATGAGGATCTCAGCCATTTGCAGAGAACCTACTACAATCTTCAGGTCCTGACTGGACAGCATGGAGGCAATGTGACTGCAAAGATAAAACACACAAACACAAGTCAATTTACTTTCACTCAAAGAATACATTTGGTCATCATGATCTTAAAAGTAGCCCACAGCCCGGGCAGTGTTACCTGGACACAGCATGGTTCCTCAGCACATCCTTCAGCAGCTCTGCATCAGCAAAGTAGATGATCCTGAGGATGGCTCTAAGGCACTTGTGTCTGACAGCAGGGCCAGCTGATGAGCTGTACACCTCATATAAGACCCCAAACAGGGTTTTGATAAAGCACTTTGCCAGTTCAGGATCCTCCTTCATCAACTGGGCTCGTGCATCTTCTCGACGAACCTCCTGGTGACTCCCTAGAGAGAGAGAGTGAACAAGTTCCCCCTTCATACACAACTGGACAAGATTCAGCAACTGACTGGAGCATGCTGCTGACTGCTCTGTCTCACATAAAGCACTTGTAATCTCTAGTAGAAAGAATCTGTGTGAAAGTCCACTTATTACATGCATGCAGTTTGTAAAATAAAATGACGTAATTAAGCATTCTATCCATTACTTTTTTTTTTTTTGCCATGGTCAGTGTTAGAATTGTAAATGTTGAAAATGTCCATCCTCCACAGTCTGATGTTCATGACTATTCCTCTACAACTGTGATGAACTGGTCAAGCCACCTTCACATAACAAATATCTGTAATTTGCCAAGACCTGCATTACCTGTATTGGGGTTGGCAAGAGGATTTGGTTTCCTCTGGATACCGCGTGCTGTTCCTGTGTCTTCATTTATCTGCTGCATAGAGTTGAAGTCAATCGTGTACACACGGCCCAAAGTTGACAAGCTGATCTCATCCTCTCCGTTCTGGTGGGCTGTCTGTGGGACCAGATAATCAAAAAATACATCTAACGTCAGTATCGCGTATGAATCAGTACCACGTAATTGAATGTGTAAATGCTTACACAATGTAATTGAATGCATTTGTCACAAATTTTGAGATCTTCATAGATACAGTTTGTATCTGATGCATTTATACCTCTATGATGCGGCTGTCAATGCGGTTGTAAGGATGCCACAGCCCCCGGTCATCCCTCCACTGCCAGATTGCACCCTCAGTCGTCTGGGCACTACCTTTCTTCAGCATTACATCAACAGCAAAGATGCCCTCTCTAGGTAAGCAGGGCATCAGCTCACTGTCAGAAGAACAGAGGTGTTAGAAAGCTACAACACTGAGTTTTACTGAGATGACTCAGACATGACATGCTGTTTTATTAACAGACTATTCTGTGGTATGACTTAGTAGGTGTCCCTACAGTAGTGGCTATCACATAAAAGTGACAACTTGTTCTGCGGATTCATTTGAAAAACAACCCTTGCATGTCACTGTGTCTTCAATGCAAAATGTTCAAAACAATGTTGGCTGCTGTTGGACACTATTACAACTGTGCTTTAAACATATATCTTAGGTTAGATGATAACGGAGCACTGCAAAATATAGTAAGAGGAAATGTAAATTTAGGACATTTATACTAATGACCACTGCCATGGATTTATTACTATAAACTGACTACTGTGGCAAAGCAATTGCATCTGCTGTTCAAGGTGAGGGAAGCAGCAGTAACACTGGTGGCACTGTTGTAGGCCCCATGTCAGTGTGAGTATATTTAATAGTTTCTGTAAATTGTGCAGAGGACAATACAAGAACATTTGACAGGCATTTTACAGCATCAAACTTAACCCATACAATATTGAACAGATGTTACCATATGAGGGAGGTCAGTTCATAGAGCTCCTGGGGGCTCCGGGGTACCAGTTCAATCTGTTCCTGGCAGCTGCCATTTGATGCACCACACAAGAGGAAACGCAGAGTTTCGGCTATGTCTGTTTAGAGAAGGTAACACAAAGATATTTCTGTTGTCAGTTGGCCTGTTGCATCTTCAGCACAGAACATTCCTACACTAAAGCTACAGTCTGTTTAAACTGAATGCAAAGTGGATTTTATAGACATGCAAGTCAATGTGAACAGACATGAATTCAGTCTAGATGGAGACAATTAAGGAAAAGATTTGTATAATTAAGTTGACAATGTTTTGAGGTGAACTACAGCATATCTAACCTATTGCATGTGTACACCTGTACACACAAATACACAAGGTTGATAGTTGTTGTGAGCAAGCTAACAAGGTAAAAATAGGGACCACATATGCTATATTATATATTCAAGTAAGATATCTTAAGATCGTGTGTGTGTGTGTGTGTGTGTGTGTGTGTGTGTGTGTGTGTGTTTGAGGGTTACTCACTTTGTTTCATAAGCTGGACTGCCAGGCAGGGGCAGTTAGAGCACATGAGGGAAAACATGCGCACAACCATGATGAACATCCCCGAGCTCAGTACAGGAGGGGTCACTACCAGCAGCTGCTGAATATTGGTCAACAGATCCCGTGACGCCACCTCCTGCAGCAGGTTCTGTTGATTTAAATACAGACACATATGCACATTAGGGGGAGGGATGGTTAATGGAAAGGATAATATAGAAACAGTAAACATGGTGTTAAGTCTTAAAAAACAGAGGTACAAACCTCTTCATGTTGAAAGTTGTCCACCAGTCTGGCGAAACAGAGACAAGTGCTTTCGACGGATTTTTTATCCTGAAAGAGTTGAATGAATATAGTCATTAGTGAATATTTTCTATAGGGTTAGACTGAAATAAAATACTTAAATAAATACTAATTGGAGCATCAATATATGGAGGTTATGATACGGAGGGAGATGATACACTGAAAAATCCAAGTGAGCTCAAAGTACTCATTTGTATGTGTGCTGGAAAAAGTATATTTTTATGCCTACAAAAATCAGACTGTGTGACTGACAGTCTGTTTCTGCATCAATAACCTGCTGCAGCCAGTGCTGCTATGCAAATGTGGCATTAGGTACTCCTTAGACAACCTCTACAAACTCATCCAAATTAATAATAATGCAGACGAGCAACATTTACTGGATACCATTGTTGATTCTTGTTAACTCCTGACAAAATGAACTATGCAGAATTAAATCTTGACTCATTTTTCAATGAATGACCAGCAAAACAAAAGATGTGCTGCAATGTCTTTAAAAAGCTAGAGTTCAACAGAAAATATGAAGGTGATTACTGACTAATAAGCACCTTGACTAGCATGCTCATGCAGCTGTCTAATAACACAACAATGTCAATGATCTACAATATATTATCAGCTACATTAATGCACAAATATATCTGAATTTGTAGAATACACTATGAAAACACCAAGTACAGATGGTTTATTAATCTGCATTTAAATGGACAACACTGCTAGACACCCTCACCAAGCAGGAATTCTTTAGTTTGCCACATTGTTTCTCTTACTTGTGCTAAATGCATTTAAGATGCTGGCTGCTTGAAAAATGGAAAGAAGTATGATTGAGTGTGAAAATTGTGCTTTGAGCAAGCTAGTATGACTACTATACATTTTTTTTTTCCTTATCAAGGCGCATCAAACACAGGTCTTTCTCATCATTGATGGCATTTTAAGAAAATTAACCTTATTTTTTACCCATGTGATTACTATCAATTTAACTTCTCAATTGTGAAAATTCTTCCAAGAGGAAAAGCCCCAAGTACCACCTAAGCCAAAACCCCACTGTGATGGTGTTGTATTTTGTAGTTCGTTGTTCTCTGACATGGGGAGAAACGTACCTGGTGTGTGAGTCTCTGAGTCAACAGTGGCAGAGAATCAGCAACAAAGTGGAACTCATCTGGAGTGATGCTCTGGCAGCAGTTGGCTGCAATGGCCAAAGCATTCCTCTGAGCATTGATGCTAAAGAACTCCAGGTAGAGGAGGCAGTCGGCGAGCCCACCCTGTGAGGGATAAAATTATAACGTTATTGTGGTCTATAATCGTGGCTAAAAGAGTGGTCTATAATCAGGGCTAAAAGATTTAAGGTTATGACAAAAAGAGAGTTGAAACACTTACAGCCTGCAAAATGGCTTTACTGTGTCGCCTTGACAACATCTCCAAGGCAGTCAGGGCCTGCTCTGCTACGTCAATGAATTGGATCACCTGAAGCTGCATACAAGAACGTGGAACAAGTTATTAGCATATCAAAAAGCCACCACTGCGAATTAACAAGCGATTAGAGACAGACAGAGAACGCAATGTCTTACCTTCTCCAGGAAGACAGGAATAGCATCGACCACCACAGCAGAGGATCGAGGCAGTGCCTCCATCATATATGTGAGTGCACGAGAGGCATGATTCATCTATGTACACAGATCAAAGGCAAACACAAACCCAGTAGCATTACAAAAATGAATCAAACAAAAGACAACTACATGTGCAACCATAGAAGTTTATCATACTCACAATATCAAAGTTATGCTCCATTTGTAACAGTGTAATCTGTGAAAGAAAGTTGAATATTAATATGGAATCAGATCAGAGGTAAATCAAATATTACACATACAATGTTTGACAAAATAATTTTCATTTTCTAGGAATTGCAGATTGTCCTATTGCAAAAAGCAAAGCAACATGGAAGCTATTTTACTTAGCTAAATAAAGTCTAGATGAGGTACAGCTGCAATACATACAGGAGACAATGAAAAGGTGAATGGCAGAACGGAATAAGACTGACCAGAGCGGGCACCACACTCTTGACGGGGAATCCACCAAGTGTCTCCTCATTGCCCATCACCAGCAGCTGGCACATCTCAATAGCAGCTTGGAGCTGCTGAGACTCGTCGCCTGTGGCCTGCAGGCCCTGCAGCAGTTGCTGAGCCTTGGAGCCTGAAAATAGGGGGCAGAATTTCTCAACAGTTATCTAGAGCTTACCAAACATGAAGAACACTGATGTAGGGGTAAGAAGATTGCACTCACTGGCTCCACTGCCTATGGTCCTGTGAAATAGCTGCGACATGCGGGGTCCCAGAGGCCCGAAAAGATGTGGGGGGAGACCCCTGGCCTCCAGTAGGGCTACAAGGACAAAAACAGCAATGTTTAGAAATCAACTATACTAAAGGTATAACAGAGTTGTGTCTGTGTGTGTGTGTGTGTGTGGGTGGTGGGTTTAACATACCTTGAAGCCTTCCCATTTCAGAGTCATCAGACTCACTCTCTCCAGACGTGGTCATGCCAACTGCTCCAGCAACTGAACTTGAAGCTGGAGAAACAAACAGTATGAAAATAAAACTCACAGTCAAACTTAAATAGTAAAGAAAGAGAACAGTCTTTCAAGTTGATGGCTTTTGATGTTACTTAGAAAAAGCCTAAAACTGTAGGCTTGAAGAGGTTTAATTATCGAGCAAATTGATGGAAAATTCTTGATCATCCAAAGGTTCCACTTCCCATAGCAAAAAAAGAAATTTTACTAGCAAAAAAGAATTGAAAAATTGATGATGATAGGTACCTGAAGCTCCTTGTGATGCCTCATCAGTGCGAGCAGCTGATGAGTTGGCCCCATCCTGGTTGTTGTCGGAGTCGGCCATTTTCTCCTGTCGGCGAGCGTCGGCTGCCCCGCGCTTGCCTAGGCCTGAACCCCGCCGACTATGGTATGAGCAAAAACAGATTGACAATGAGTGACAGAACAGTAATCACAAAGCATAGCACATTCTGTGTTACCACTCCCAGTCAAATAAATACACAGCAGTGGTTCCCCTGGATATTTTTTCATGCTTTATATTAATGATTATGCTCATGTAAACATCCAGATTTGTCCACATTCTGATAGATACTGTGCAGTCCAAAATGCCAATTTAAAGTCTTAAACATCTTCCTGTGTGTGTGTATTCGAGGTCACTGTTCATAGAGCCAATATATTCAGTGAAGTATTCTGCTTTATAGACAATAGTCATGATACCTAGGTCAACCCAAGGCTCTCCCCTTCAGTTTTTTAATGTGGTAAGGGAAGTAAACGTGAGTAATGGTCAAAACAATACCCTCCAGTTATTTTTCTTTTGTGAAACAGCTTCATCAACTGAGACAGTACTGTCCTTTATCGTCCTCTGCATCGGGCTGATTTTCGTATTCTGTTTTGCCATCTTGCTTTGAAATCTAGCTATTATCCTGCAATGGTGCCTGGGTTTATGTGGAGTGGGACTTTACACAGAAAACAAAAGGTGAATTGCTGGCATTATATAAAAATAAATAAGGGCAGCACAGAGCTTTCACTGTGTCCTCAACTTCAATAAAGGATACAGTCACTGGGCCAAACAAAGCTTAAGTTAGCTCATTTCAATGCTCACTTGATTTGGAAAAGATAATATTAAAGCAGCTTTGTTAAACATGAAAATTTCAAATAGCAGCAATTGAAAACATCTCTATTCAACAATCATAAATAAATATCAGATCACACCCAGTATATATATAAACCAACATTAAAAAGACTGATTGGAAGAAATAACAAAAAAAAAAAATGCAAACTAAAAATCAGGAAACCACAAGGTAACATAAATCATTTGGGTAAATTTATGATTCTAATGGTTACAACAATACTTTGTTTTGTACAAGAGACAGATCACTTATTAAAAATGTATCTTACAAAATAAAATACCAATTTCATTAGTGCCTTATTAGTACTGTAAATTGTTGTTGTTTAAAGTCTTCAAAACATACACTCTGGTGCCACTTGGGTACAACTGGCTAAAACCAATGCAGTCTCAAACGGCAGCCCTGCAATTAATTCTACCATGATGAAGGTTATAGTTCTGGTCAAAACTATTGGCACCCCTGAATTTCAAGTACATGATTCAGAATATCCTCAGAAATAAATTCAGATGACCCAATTTTCAAACAACAGTGACAATTATTGGCACCTATTGATCAATTGAAATTAGTTCCTCAAACAAAATAAAACTCACCTGTGCTTAATTTTCAGTGGTCACATGACCCACATTAACCAATGAATGATGGATTTACTGCATAAAAGGGGGACGATTGTTTACAGTTTCTTTTTCACAATGGCAAATGGCACAAAAGAGCTGTCTGAGAGCATCAGAAATGCTACAAGGCAAATTTCATGTACTTTTTTATGCAGCAATATTTATACTATAGCCTACACTGTCATCACTGTGATTTATACCTGGTGCTGGCACAGGAGCCCGTGGTCTTCTGGCGTGTGCTCCGCCGAAAGCTGGGGAGCTCTGCTGGAGGAGACTCGCTGCGCTTCTTAGTGGATTTCCTCAAACCTAAGGTGTGAAAAGCATAAACACTGGTATTTTTGATGGAAATACATTCTCAAAGCAAAATAAATCAAACCAGTTTGATATTTGTGTTGATTCACACGCCAGATATGAAACATTTGTCACCTAGCTATCAAAGGCATTCACAACAAGTTTCACCTTGTATTAGGGTTGAATAATTAAACACAATACCCTTCTTTTATGTATCACTTAACCATGGCACCACAATGGAAAACATATCCCCATAGCATAATTATTGGTCATAGGGCTGTGAAAAATGTTGGCCAATCAAAGCACAGATTGATGCTGAGTGTTACTTTTCAATATTGTAAAGGCTCTGGTGTTGCCTGTTTGGAGCCCTGTACCACTGACTAGAAGGGTATTAATAGTAACCCAGCTATGGCGCTATGACAGGACAACCTTCATGCTGGATCCATGACTCATAATTCAGCAGTATAAAAATAAACATTTCAAAAATTAAGACCAAATGAATTGAAGAGATAAGAACTATTATTTCTTTTTTTGTACTTCATTTGACCATAGTTTTGTGTCCCACTTATAGCTGGCCAATTATAACTGGTCAAATAGTAATATATCTTCACACACATTTCCCCATAAGTTTCACAAAGATTCCAAATTAAGATTCAATTATCTACAGCCAATGCAATAATAAACCTTTCCCTATTGTTGAGGCTGCAGTAACATTTCTAATTCAACATGAATGCAAAATGACATTGTGCAATGGAAAGCCATACAGTATCACTGGAACACATGTCAACAGCATTGTATATGCTTACTCACCATTATAGCTGAAAGTAACAGAATCTGTGTGTAAAAAAGTTATTAAAGGCCGACAAATGAAGATATTCCAAGAGAGATGAAGTTTTTCCCTCTTGACAGAAACAGCTTATGAGCCCTTCCCTGCCCTCAAACATACCCCTGGTCAGCTGGTGGGCCAACACGCCAAAGCCAACTTAGGAGGGGTCTCTCCATTTTGGCCCAGGGCCCATGGCACAGAGCCCACCTCAGTTTCTATCCTTTCACCTGCCTAGAACAGCCTGACCTCACACTGACCCGACAGCTTAAACTCACTTAACCATAGACACCAAATATCTACTGCAATATCTCTGTGTATCTGGCCTATTGTTCCTGCAATTTCTCCCCTCTTCACACTATGGGTACCAAACTTCAATACTTCTTTAGCATGGACCAAATGGTGGCTGTTGCATTGCTTATTGGCAATTGTCAGATACCAAAAGTTAGTTTTGCTTCCTCTGATCAGATATTGTCTTATTCAAAACAATGTTTAGTTGACTGTCTTCTGTACTTTATTTAGGTTTCTTTAGAATGCTTGTAAGACCAACATTTAATACAGTTGATGCATTTCATAAGTTTGACCTATTTTGTTAAATAGGTTAAATATTTTGTTAAATAGGTCAAACATGTTTTTACTGAGCAAAGTATGGTATGGTATCTGGCCAAATATTTTAGTATCGGTACAAGAGCCCAACCAATAAATCAGCCTGGCAGATATTTCCAAACAATTTTAGATTATGATAGATATATCAGTGTATATGACGGCCAATATGTAACAAGAAATTGCAGTCCACAACTGTCAATAATACATTAATATGGTAATTTAGAAACATTTGCCATTGCATGGTTTGTCTGCCAGAGAGCACTGACAAAATGTAAGTTCTCCTTATCACAAACGATTACGATATGTATTTATGTTGAAAAAAAAAAAAAAATCAGACAATATATCATCATACGATTCAAACTCTCAATTAATTAATAATTAGTACCAAATCTCTGCCCAAATTCATGGTTACAAAAAAAACTGATTGCCAACCTGACAACACAGCTACCAGCACAATCCCAAAAGACCAGAATCAAGTCACTATAATACACAACTAGTCAAAACAGCTACATTTTTCCAGTTTTTACTGAAATTTAAATAGTGTAATGTTTGAGTGTTTTTGAAAATAAGACATACAACAAATAAATAATAAAGATTAAAAAAATGAATCATGTAATCTTAAATTCTAAATTTAATCAATCATTTAATAATTTTTGACTAATTCAGCAGCCAAACATACTTTTGCAGTTCTTTCTACTGGAAATTAAACACTGTTTGGAAGTTCCCACAAATGTGTTGCACTTGTAGGAACTGTTTGCATTAACTTTCAAGGCTTCATTTATTTCCATTGCTACAGGAAAGCTGTGAATTAGAAAATTCTTAATCCATGAAAAAGATCTGTTTTCTTTTAAATGTACATGATTTTTCAGTTTTTGGTGACCTTAACATTTTTTGTACCTTGGGCAGTTTACCACTTCCCTTCATATCATGTAATGTTATTCACTGGACTTGAACTGCTGAAATTTCAATGGAAACTGGAAAATTAGGATATTTCTCAAACTTTTGACTGATAGTGTAAATGCCACAATAAAGACCATTTTACTAGAAAAGTCCTTCTGAATTTGACTCTTTAAGTGTCTACCATACGTGTGAAATCATACATTTTCTCCACACCGCTAACTGAGTGACCAGCAGTTTTTATGTATTTAGCTGCTCTCCAGTTTCAGGCTTCAGGTACTTAAGCCTGAAATCTGAGCCAGTTCACCAGCTCAGTGAAGTCCACACTCAGCACATGTCAACGAGACATGCTAGTCAAGACACACACACGTATGCTTTATTGTATGCACGTCAGAGTGTCACCATCTGCATTCATGCAAGATGTGTACATCATGAGTTATATAGATACCTGGATAAAGGCTTTGTGAAATGTTATCCCTATGTGTAAACAATGTATACTAATTTTTATCGAAGGTTATTCATTTATCTGTATGGTTACCGCTTTGGTGTATGTATGTTGTAATGTGTCTCAACTGGGCGACACTTAAACCAAATGTATTTGCTCCAAGCAAGTTAAGAGTGAGTTTTTGTAACTGATGCTGAGACACTACTCGGATCACAGGTCCTGTGATATTTAATCCCAGAGGTGTAACCTCGAACCAAGCACACAAGAATAATGTGCTGACCCTCAACAAGCCAACCATTAGCCTGTTTAAACCACTCTATCTTTTCATGCAATAACAAACCCATTAAAGCAAACCCTCACATACTTCCCTTCACCATACTCAACCGCTCCCATGGCTAATAGAAGGCTGAATGAATTTAAATATGTAACGGTATGAAAACAACATCAAATATTTCTGAAATGGTATTAAATAGCACTGAAATACTCTCTTAACAAAAAGCTGTTAAAAAGAGATGCTACAGCTAAGAGAGTAGATAAAATTAGTGTTTCTACAATGATTAGAAGGGTTCCACACACAGGCAATGTGACTCACTTGCTAGTTTAGCTTGTAATCCTGATGGCCCAGGTTTGGAAGTCTCAGTTTTGGAGGATCCGGGCAAGGACAGTTTGGGTTTTGGCAGGTTGACTTTGGGGTTAAAGCGTGCTGCCCACTCAAATTTTGAAGAGCTGGCAGATTTGGCCTGCTCCTTGTCACGGGTACTACGGCGTGGGGAAGGGCTTGAGGCCGAGCGAGAGCGACGCGCCTTGGTCTGATCTTTTCCCTGTTTGACTCGAGCGCCCTGCGTGGTGGCGCTGTTGGTGCCTGTGGTGGAGGAGGAGGAAGAGGTGGAGGCAGAGGAAGAGGAGTCCGTCACGTTGCTACACCCAGCTTTGGCTGAGGCGGCCGATTTAGACGCCAGCTTGGTGGGTTTTGCAGTTCTGCCCTCAGTACGATTGGGGAGGGACCCAGCGGTACTACTTAGACCGGGGAGAGAGTCCGCTTTCTTCCGTTTCTGGATTGGTGAGGCCCCAGCGGACCCACTCTTCTTGCTCTGACCTCGACCTGACGATGCAGGTGGTTCTGAAGCAAGTGATCTCTTCTTGGACTTAGCTTGGCCTTTCTTGGTCTCTGAGGTATTGTCTCGGGGTGGTGGGACCGATTTGGGCTTCTTGGCAGGGGTCGGTCCAAAAGTACTGATTTGGTCAGGAGCTTCGCTTCGCTTTAGCCCTCGGGTGCCTTCACTCTTTGACTGGCGGCCTGGTCGTTCTTGTTCAGATGTCCCTGCAGCCTCTGGGTCGTCTTGCAACACAAATGAAGCCACGGACAGAGTAAGACCGCTTCTGCCAGGGAGCAAGAGGGACAACAAAACACCATCTTAAGAAATTTCTGAAACCATAAGAAGTGATGAATTACAATGCCACATTCATTGTACTCATTCAGATTTAGCACAAAACCCAAAGGTGTACAATAAGTATGACGTTATTATATACAGTACAAATCCTACATACACAATCACACACGCACACATTAAGCACCAAGAAGAGAGGAGGGGTACCTTCTTGAGCTGTGCCCTCTGGACTGGCCAGTGGCTGTGCTGGCTGTGGCTTTGGAAGCCTTAGAATTAGGTCTTCTACTTTCAGGTGGGGAATTTGCTTTATGTTTTACCTGCTCTGACTGCAACCTGTAAGGTTGGAAATTAAAGAGCAAGTGATAGTGTAGGTTTCTGTAATTAAGCCACATAAAAGAGAGACTTGATCAATCCCCAAATCAATTTGCCTGACTGCATCTGCATATCCTCTGAAGTTTAACACCTTTGGAGTAGCATGAAAAAAAGCTAAAAAAGAGTTAATCACCATTTGACTATGATAAACAAACACAAGATAAGCTTGAACTTTGATCAAAGAGGCCAATATAACCATTCTGCATTACATTTCAATTCACAACACACCACCTATGAACTAAGAACAAATCCCTCTACTAAAACAGCCCTCTTATTTCTCCCTTCAAGAAAAACCCATGTGATGTTCCCACAAACTACAATTACTGCCTCTAACTTTGAACTGAGATTTTAACAAAAATTGGATGATAAGTTTGAGGACTTTGTAGGCTCACCTTCCTGCGACTGTGTGGTCTTGTGGCTGGGCCGCAGCAGTGTTCCTCTGTGAACGGCGCAGTGACCCCCCTGGATTGGAATTAGGCCGGTTGGACATTGGCACCTCTCTCCTGAAGGGACATACCCTTTCTAGACACTACCATTCACTGCAATCATAGAGAGAAAGAAACCACATAAGAATACTGACAAAATGCAATGGTGAGCCTTGTATCTCGCTCTCTTACAACAACTGGTCGTGGTTTCAAACAGATTGCTGTGCTGTAGGTGACAGCTATTACAGCTGTTGCACCTTTAATATCAGACCAACCCATCTAGCCCATTTGAGATGATTAGGTCCACAATCGTCTCAAGATACAATCTCCCACCAGAAAACAACTGGAACCATGCTACTACCGACACTGCCATTTGTGTAGGGGCAGATACCTGGCATAAAAAAATCAAATGCAAGGAACCACGTAAATCACAGTTGATACAATTATTAAAAAAACAACTGGGCTGAGACTTCAAATGATTTTATGAACTTGGTTCAAACAGATTTCATAGCCATTAATATGCTGTCTTCTAAAGAAAAAAAAAAGATGGCAAAATACACACAGGTCAGTTTATGTTCTCAGCACCCTCACACTTTCCCCAGTTTTTAAGTCTCCCAATAATGGTTACAACAAAGTGCATACTTCTGTGAACCACTCAAAGTAATCCACTGACATTTAAACATTAAAATAAATCTTAGTCTGTATCAAATTATAAAATATTGGCTTTAAGAGACAGCACTACAAACAGTTTTGTCACCATGTATTATGAGTACAGATTGGCCATAAAGCTATAGTCAAGTATCCTACTAACCTTATGATTTTTAAATACATTTGTACATTTACTTTTAACCCCTTGGCATTCATTCATCCAATAATCACAATCATCATGATCACCTTCATCACCAGAATATCACTTTACAATATTAACAAAACAACCTGAGAATCTAATTTAGTAATGATGAGCAAGGTCACAGACAAATATAAATAAACCTACCATGGGGAAGGCTGCAAATCAAACAAACCATACAAAAAGAGAATTATCTTTCAAAGCTCTTTTTTCAAAGAATATTAACAGTAGCTGATATTCTTTAAATGGCCATATCATTCCATAACATTTGGTTGTTGGGGACATTGTAGTTTTCATTTTAGACAGGATATGAAAGAAAACGTGTTTCACATATTAAGTATGATTCATATGTGCTTCTAATAAGTCAGTGACATGAGGGTACTGAGAACAGGAGTGATTGATATGTTTTGAACACACAAACACACAGCTGGATGGTTTTATCAATTGATACACAGAGACTACTGAATCACAACCTTAATAGTTTTTGCCATCTTGAAAAGCAAGATTATTACTTAACCCATTTAGTTAGGGTTTAAATCATGATATCATTGATCATAAAAATACGCCACACTTGGCAAGCTCACAGGGCCATTTTAGGCCTGCACTGACAGTGCATCCGAGTCTTTGTTTATTCGTCCATTCTGACAACTGGTGCACCACATTCGCGCATAACGTGACCAGTTAAGCACACCAAATAATCGGCAGTTTCAAACGCTGGCAGGTTCAAAGTTTCTTCTACTACACCACTAAACAAGCACGACAGTGTCCAATTTTTATACTCATGATTTACAGAGGCCTGTATTTCTGACGTAGTTGTCTACCACCACCGACTAGCATGTTTAGCTACTCATATCCTAGCTAGTCCCATACATTTTGACAGTAACTCAGTCTAATCCATATCTTTCCAAAAAACTACCACATCACAAAAGCGAAGCTTGTAACCGCTTTATACTGAATATAATGGCAAGACAACGCTACAAAGCTAGTAATTACATACCAGGGACCCGTTAAAGTTACGTTGGCTAACGTAGCAGTGGCTCCATGGAAATGCGTAGTTGGCGTACCGGTGTATCAACCTATTTAGCTCCCTAACGAAACGCACAACCAAAATCGAACAGCTACCTTGTTTGTACCTTGTGTGTGGTATGAAAAGGCGACATTTCTACTGAATGACCAAGACAGGCCCCACGAGTGGCAAATGACAAATACGTTCACCTGAGATTAGCTACACATCGAAAATGGCAGCATCGGCTGGACCGTCTTTCGAAAGCGGTTTAATGTAATATAGCTAGCAGGCTACCAGTTAACCAATGTAAGCTAACTTGGTATTCTCACTACCATGACACAGTGCTCTGTGTCTGGCAAACGATCAAGTTTAAAGAAAAAAATATAATACATGGCTCGCCATCAAGTTAGCTCACCTTCTGTACTGTTTGATGGGATGATCAAATCAAAAATACACAGCTGTCAAGTCGACAGGTAACTAGGCAGATCCAGTAACACTCTCTTAGGAACTGTCAATGCGAATGTAGAGTACACAAGTAGAGCTAACTAATGTTAGCTGGCTGAGGATCACTAATGTTTTCTAAGCTGACTTAAGGCCAATGCCTGCCTCTGACTACAGCGCTGGTTAGCGTTTAGGCTACCGCTAGCCAGGCAGAAACAAGTTGACTACTAACAAGCAACGTGTCAACAAAGCACATACTTCCTATTTAGAGTTTGGGTGAGAGGACAAAATAACGTCGAACATCTTATTTAGCTCCCGTTAAGACCAGAATGTCAAGTATCGAGGCTAATTATTAGCAAGCTAACGCTATTTTAGCTAAGTAAGATAGCGAATGTTTCTTCAATAACCGTTCACTCACCAACAATAAGTGGACAAAAATAAACACTTGGCTGTTAGGTATACAAACTAACGTTCCTGGGTGGTATTAGTTAATATATCTGTCCGGGTAACAATAAATCCCTGACTTTATACTGAATTTGCGTCTGCGGGGCAGTCACGTAGATGACGTTAAGCGTTGTCAAATCAAACAAGAGCCATAGCTATTGCCAGCTAACCTTGGCATGCAAGCTAATTAATATTAGCAAGCCTTGTTGTCGCTGCCTAACGCATTGCCACCTCGACAGGATTGGGATTTCTTATACAAACGACAGCTTCGTTACAACTCACTAATTCTGTCTTTTGGGAACAATTTTTTCAAATTTTGTTAAAATTTACAAGTTGTCTAGCGTGCGGCTAGCACGTTAACGCTAGCTAGCAAAAAGAAATGGCCTCTGATACCTTTTAGACACAAAAAACAGGAAAGCAGGAACGGGATTCGAGATATTTTCGCAACAATGAATCATAATTCCTCCGATGTATTTCGACACTGAATACCCTCGAAGGTCCGAGAGACCGTTGGCTGACATGTCACTGAAAATTTCTACCTTTTGTATAATGTTGTTACCTATTTGTTCCAGTGTTGTAGTTGTAACAGACAGTGCACCAGCTCCTCTTTTCTCTCTGAACCCCTGCTACTTTCACATCAGCTGAGGGGCCTACAACTGCAGTATACATCCGCGCGATTCATCCGCTCAGGGACTACTTACTTCTGATTTTTAGCTTTCGACATCTGCTGTTTTTAAGCAAGCGACACAACACTGGATGTGTTGCCATGTAAATTTATGAACATAACGACTAAAAACACAAAGATTGAGATTTAGTTGTCCGTTATCACAGCAACACTGAAGTCATTGGGAACATTAGCTTGTCACAATTATGAAGTATCAATCCGCTGGGTCGTGACCCCACCCCCCACCTCCCCCCCACCATATATATATATATATATATATATATATATATATGTGTGTGTGTGTGTGTGTATTTATATATATATATATACAAAAAAATCTTTATACAAAAAAATCTCTAATAATTAATTCGATTTCATGTATTAGCTATTGCAATTAACCCACATGAATGTAAGTTAAAGACCATCTAACAGTTTCCTCTGTTGTTGAGTAAATACTATTATTTCAAATGCTTTTTAGTTGTCATGGTTGCAAGTCTGCGTCCAAAATGGCGTCCTTGCTCGGGGAGCAACTGTTTGAAATAAGTAGTCAAGGTCCACCTCCTCCAAAAGATTTTTTCCAACTTGTTAATACGAAAAATGAGGTCGAGTATTTCTATTTTTAGTTTCTATTTATGAAACAGAGTGTGTTGGTAAAATCTGCTAAATGTTTATAAAACCACTGTGCATATGTAACAGAAACTAGCTTAGTTTCCACCTACAATGTTAAGTAGTTAGCCAGCTAGCTTTAAAAAAAAAAAAAATCGTGTTGGGCTACAATTTCATAGTTTGTAGATACTTATGCTGGTAAATTGAGCAAAGACTTCCATACGACTAATGAAAGTTTTATTCAGTATTTCAAGTTGAAGTGAGTGATTTGGTGGAAAAATAAAAAACATAAAAACAATATTCCATTTGGAAATTCAATAATCATGTAGGCCATTTTGGGTTAAAACATTTACAAACATTATTACAGATATTATTATTGGTGTTGTACATAAATAGTATCTTGGATTCACGTGAACTTTACTGCATCATAAGTCATATCTTCAGTATGTCCTCACTGTTGTTAACTTTTACTAACTTTGACTAACTTTAGGTAATATGGAGATCATGGAGGATTTCTTTGCAACTTAATTGCCGGGGCGCTCCACCCAAAGAGCTGAGGACATCCCATCTCGAATTCCTACATCACAAAGTGCTACAGCGTAAGGTTTCGTCATCAGTGCCCTGTAGCCTTACATTATGTCCATGACACTGGATTCCTTTTTCACTTGTTGTTAATCTGCAGTGAATCTTCTTTGGTGAAGTGGTACAGAACCCTGGTCTCAGCAATTTTGCTTCAATGAAAATCCATCATTTGACAGAGTAGGCTTATGTAAGGTTTCAAGTCTCTGACATCAAGTCTGTACTCTGCCACTTCTCACATGTAGAACAAATTGGCACTGTTTTTGGGCAGAGGATCCTGGAATACACAATATCACTTTGTCAAGGAAAGTTTGATTACCTGGAGCGCTTACCTGATAACATGATGCTCTGCATCATGTCCTACCTAAAGCTGAAAGAGACAACACTTCTGGCACAGGTTTCCCATAGATTCAGAAAGGTGAGAGCCTATTAAAATGATAAGTTCACAACAGTCTAGAGGAGTCTTTATTAGATAACGCAAATATGGTGTATTAGTGTCTGTTTTGCTGGGTCACCAGTGTGTATGTTTGTCCTTCTATATATTCAAACATGGATAACTGTATTTGTAAATCTGCATTATATTTTGTTGTCCTCTGATTTTACTGCACCAGCTCTGCAATTCTGAGAAGTTTTGGGAGCACACTGTGAGGAATCGCTGTGATGGGTTTACCAGTGACATGGAAGGCATAGCCAATGCCATGGGCTGGAGAAAGACCTTCTTTACCTTTTTCCACTCCAGTGGCAGGAAGGAGCAGCAGTGAAGCAACCGAGCCTGTTCATTACTGTTCTGAAACAACTGCAATACAAAACCTATCGCAGTGGATGAATAGCCAGTATTAATTTTGCACTTTGTTTCACATAACACAGTGCTTTCAGTGTTAGTTAGTTAGTAAGTGTTCTTAAATTTCAAATTTGGTGTTGAGATGTGTAATCTACAAAAAATATATATTCCGTTGCTTGAAAAGTGCCAAATATTCTTGAAAACAAATCAGTATTTGTATGTGTCTCTAATTTCTTGTTGTTGTTTTGATGACAACAATTGCCACTAGTATGCAGTTACTTACAAGTTATGTTTTTTGGAAAGAGTTTACATGGTGTAACATTACTGGTACATTAAATTAGTGTACTAAATAAAACAGCATTTAGTGTTTCCATCTTGTTTCCTGAATGATAAACTGGTAAAATATGAAATACTTAAGCAACTAGAGCCCTGCTGACATCATATCAAGGTCAATGGTTATTTCATCATATACTTCCTGTTTACATTTGCTGCTGAGAAGTTCTTGCGCCCTCTGCTGAAGGCCCTTGGCACTCAGTGCTGTCTCTGCCTGCAGATAACCAGGGTTTGTATACGTTCTCTATGCTGTGTTCACTCGTGCAGCCAGCAGAGGGAGCAATATGGCAAAGAAACCGGAGTCAGATGATGGGAGGAGGAGTATCAAGCAAATAAACCCTTGGGTAACGTGTGCAAAACAAGTGCTGTAATTCTAGTTACCACATCCAGGCCTAAAGGCTACAACACATTTATTCTGGACTGAAACCTTGTACAAATACGTCTGTAAGGGCATCTGCCACACCGGTCCTACCTCACCTGAAACCTGTACAAGCAAGCTACAGTAACGTAAGACAAAGGTATGCACTGTTTTTTTCTGTTTCTAACAGGTACCTTAGTGAATCAGAGACAACATATGGTACAATAAATGTCAACAAAAACAGCTACCTTCCAAATTAATGTTATTGTTTCAAAAGAGAAACAAAAAACATAAGGTATTCCGTTGTGCTTTGTTAAGGCACAAGGAAAAGAATGTGTCATTTTACAGCACATTTTAAAATGCTGGTCTTTTTCCGTAAACAACAGATCCCCTCAACAATAAATATTCTTCTTCCCGGATGATAGCTTGGAGTTGGAGTGAACTGACCTGACCGCCCACAACCCGGACTGGTAGGTACTATGGCCTATTATTAGCCTCTGAACACTGGATACTGCCTTCTCAGCTGGGTCTGGTCTAGGAGAAAAAATATTCATTACGTAACAATAAAGGATCTGTCTCCCAGACCCACTTCCTGAATACCACAGCAGCAACTAGGCCCCAAACTGAGGCAGAGCGGAAGCCTCATCCATTTGTTTGCTGGAGCAGTGTAGAGCAGTGCCGGTTGTTTTCTGCTTATCCCTTGCCTCCACATATTCACCACGCCACCCCTCCTTCTCAGCTCCTCTTTGTGGGTCAGTGATGCAGCGGGAGTGACGCAGCAGTGGCAGCAGCCTCCAGAAGGCAAATATACACTGCAGGAACAGGGAACCTCTACTAGAACAGACAACAGTGAAGAAGGAAGATGGTTAAAGCCTGGGCCGAAGGGAGAACAGGAGCCAGGTAGTCACTCTGCTTTACTCCTTCTAAGCAAACATCAGAGAGACTTCCACAACGGCAGAGGCAGGCACAGCAAGACCTTCAGCACTGAAACACTTTTGGTAGGCAACTCAAAGTATGAGTGCTTGTTATGTCAGTGACTTAAGTGCTACCAGAGATGAGTGTCTTTGTATGCTAAGAGTGTGAATGCTTTGAGAATGAGGATGAGGCCTACTCAGCCTTGTACTGCGGTCTGTGTTTCCCTGCTGATCAGCGTCCCTACAGGCTGCAGCTGAGCTTACAGAGCATCAGAGGCACAAGGCCTGTAAACTTTGTCCTGAGGTTTTCACCACATCCTAGCTGTGATATCAAGTGTGCATGACAAGGTGATGCTTACAAAATACTTCAGAGGATCTACTATATGGAGCTCCATGAAAGCACTTCAAGGAAAATTTACTTTTTCCATTTTCAGTTTTGATTCTGATTTAGCATGAGATCTATTTTAAATGTGAATTTATAGTTCACATAGTTATATGGTTATAGTTATAGTTTTTTTTTTTACATAAATAATTCCCAATCCAGTAAAATGCGTAAAAGATTTATGGTCAAATATTGAGGAGAGCCTCTTTAGTTAAAAATGGTACAATGGTTAAAAATGGTCCTCTACTGTACAATGTTTTGTATTTAAAAATTATTTTTAAAAAACTATAATTTTATTGGCTTACCACAGATGCGTTTCAGCCTACATGCATTCATCGGGTATACAATACACACTGCAGACCTACATACAAATTATTATTATTATTTTTATATTAGAAGGACAATAAGAAGACTACGAGATCGCACAAAAAAGTAATTCATAGAACTATTAGTCTGCCCACCATCAAAACCTGCACTCATTGCAAGTCATTGAAATAACAGAGGAAGAGCTGAAATGAGGACACAAACTAAGAATGCTCAAAAATCTGTATATTCTTTTTAAATGCCAATGATCTTCCTGGCCTGGAGCTTAGATACTAGAGAAAACCCCCATATATACTTCAGTCAACAAAAAAACCCTTCAACCTCTCTCTTTAAATATAATGGCAATAGATTTTTGACCACAGGAAGTCAGGGTCTTATTTCTTAATTTGACTTCTTTGAATGTGCATCTCAGCTGTGAAGTTGAGAACTAGAATTCTGTTATTTTTGACTGACAGTACTCTCAGTAAATCAGCTGCAATAGTTGCTGCATACTCAGCTCCAGCCAACCCCCTCCACCCCCTCAAATTTAGATTTTCTGGCTCCAGTAACAGAAGTGGCAATGAAGCCACTTTTTCACGTGACACTATCCCCCTCACGACAACCGAGTGGCCAACCAAACCAACAGGTGGCTGCTATGAATGGACAGAGTGCTGATACCAGGAAGAAAATAAATATCCTGAAAAGGTAAAGGCCATCCAAATTAGGGATGATACTATCAGGTATCAGTCGCTCAGAGGTCGGTGGATGTTGAAATGCGGTCAGAAATTGAGGTTGAGGTTTAAGTTGAGGTTTCTACAGAATATGTAACTGAACACCTAAAGGCTAGTTGATGCCTTGTTCGGTTTTAAAGCAGGTATCAGTTATTAGGTTATCAGTTTGATCAAAATCACAAGGTCTTCAAAGGACATTCTTCTTGTCTGTGGACAGCTTTGTAAAAATCTTTATATTATTAAATTTCATTACAAAAATATGATATTAGAATTAATTGTTTTATCTTGTCTTTCTTCCTGTTAGCCTTTGGCTGTCTGGAATAACTTCCTAAGTTTTTTCTGTTCTGTACAGTTTATTGCACAACAATTCTTTGCAACTTTACCAGTGTTTTCCTTTATTTTCCTATGTGACAGCATATTGGTAAATACTGAATAAATACGGTATGTTTGCCATCTCTCTGGAGTGACACTGGTGACCTCTGCAGATAGTGGTGTCACATGTATACCCTGCACTAACAAAGACAGCAGCAACTAATACAAAAAAAATCAAGTCTATAAATGTCCTTTGGAAACATAGGTGACATCACAGATTCCTTACTTTTAAAGAATGCGGTTTATGCCCATAGTGGGTGTTGCTCATCTCTGAAAATATGATTTCTTACTCACAATATGGGACTTTAGTGCAATAAATGCCTTCATGACATCTATTACTATGGCCTACATTGTTGATGTGATACTATAGTTACTGCAGTGCCAGACCAATTGCCTGCATATGTTGGATGCTTTTACTGTTTCTAAAATGCAGCATTTGCATTGATACACGCTGATGAAGGCTGAAGTATGCTGGTGGGAAGTCAATAAAATAAAGGTTTCTTAATACATTTTCGCTCCCAAAAGTTATACACAATCAGAGTACTACAGTGCTGAATAGAATCAAGTTTCAATAACTCTTGAGCACCTATTTAAACTATTACATTTATACCTTTTTTTTTTTTTCTTTTTTTTTAACTCTGATTTTGTGGAATACTTCCAATTATATCTTTATCTTGTAATGCATAACTGTTCTAATGTGCAAGTTTAACATGTATTATTTTTACTGCAGCGGGTAACGCTGAGTTATTCAAAGTAAAATTAGGTTGTTGGGCATAAATATTCAGCATGGAGTTTTCAAAAGCCCTAAAAGGATCAGTCCATGATCCAAATATGAACAAAAGGGTGGTCCCACCACCAACAGTCAAAGAAAAGGATTGGGGCCATCAGTCTTGCTCAAATTGATTGACAATTAATACCAAAATAGACGAAAACTAAATCCAGGTTACTAATGATTTTGATAGAGTTATACATTTATTTATTCAGTAATTTCCAAAACAGCAAAACAGTTCATAAAAAGTTCTTTCAGTTATGAGTGTGAGTATACACTATTTGTGATTTACATTGTCATAAAATTGAGGAGTGGGCCTTTAGAGATGGAAAAAGATCTGTGGATAATCTGAAAGGATCATGAACCGAACGCCCTCTTTCCTCCTCTCTCTCCAGACAATTTCCTCTGATGATGGAAAACTCAAAGAGTGGTGGGTAGAATGCAGCACACAATGCCGCCCAAAAACTGTGGCTAAGGTCAGAAACCTTTACCACCTGAATGGCATTTTCATAATATTTTTGGTTTTCACACTGACATGGTCCAGTGTGGCAGATAATAGGAAAGGGTGAAAACTTAATTACCTGAAAGGCTGGCACACTGGCTGCTCCCCAGGTTAATGTATTGGGTCGTCAAGGAAGCAGGTCTTGCTGTCAACACCAAAAAATAGCAGACTGCGCCTGCGGTTAATTGTGTTTTCATGAAACTACAGTAATATAATGAACCAAACACAGACAAGGGAACAGGACAATACAGCAGCTAAGATTAAGTGTGATCATCAAGTGAATTTTAAGAGACGAAAGCACAAACACTACATGAATAGCACGTGTCTTTTCCTTTAGGGCAATGAGTGAGTGCATGCATAATGATATGACACCTGCTTTGTCTTTTGAAGTCAACTGCACATAAAATTAAATGGCTTTGAAACTGGTTTAAAGTGGGTTTCAGCCAGCATGAAGAGAAGACCTACACAGCCACAGGACTCTATACTCAGTTATGTAAATAAAAGAGCTGCTTCCGTCCTCAGAGGCTAGCAAGAGGCTCTCAGTGCCATGTCGGGTTCTGCTTCCTCCCCTCCCCCTCGTCTGCAGTGCTGACGCATCTGCTGCTTTTGCATCAATCAGCAGCCTCTATATAGGTATACCCAGAGTCTCCGCTGATAGCGGGACTGTCTTTTTCCTGTGTTTAGCTTGCATGATCACTGCAACTGTGAGAAAAAGCATCGATGAACATCTGTCCTGTGACTGCTATATACACAATAGGACAGTAGTCATTGCCATCTTCCCTCGGGTTCTGCATTACCTAACCATAGTGACTGCGTAAGCACGGACGAAGGGCTTTGGTGTAATATACTGCTGCACAGACAGAGACTGAGTGCACAAGCATGAAACAGATGGTGTAGCGTTATGCATTCAAGGTGCACGTTGTTTCTACGAAGGCTACGGGTGATTTTGTTTCAAATGAGTGTTTTTCTGCAAAAGTAATTTTTCCTTTTGCTCACCATCGAGGTACATCAGGATTTAGCTGGTGTTGTGCTGAGGAGATTTAATACAGCATTTGTTGTACAGCAGAGGACCTCTCACTCTATGCTGCTACCAGCAATGCAGCTGAGCATTTTCCCTGACTGTAGCATCGAGTACAGAGCTGATGTGTGATGTAGCACCCAGCATCTCTCCGCTCTCCCCACAGCACTCTGCCATGCTTAATAAAAGTTGCCGTTTCCTGCTCAGTGGCTACAGTGCGAACGCTTCAGTAGCCCAGCTAACACAAAGGCAGACCCATACTCTGGATTAGCTATGCTGTATAAACTGTGAGTTTTTCCTATAGCTGTAGCAGGACAGAAGAGGGACAGTCAGAGGAGGGCAGGGTAGATCTAGCCCAGGACCTGGGCTGCATGGATAGAGGCGAAGGACGTTGGAGCTGGAGTCATCTGCACACAGAGAGGGAGGGAGAGGAAGAAAGACGTCAGAAAAAGCTCTGCTTCTGACAACACCACTGTTCAGCGACCATCATAGAAAGAAAACTACTTTCGCCTTGCTCTGACGAAATTGTTTTTCATGTATAGTTGTCTATACTGAGGGCTGTTCAAAGGGGATACTGCATGACACTGTTTCCTGTTCGCCCTGCATCATTTTCTCTGATTTACTAAGGTATGTTTTGCATGGTTTCCCTCAATTTATAACCTGTTTTTTGCGGAAGTACGCTTTGCAGAGGTGCGTCAAGTGTCTTTTGCTTTGACATTTCGCTCTTTGTTTGACTGTCTGTATACTATAGTGTCATTTGGTTTGTGGTTTAGTGCGTGGTTTTTTTTATTTTACAGGTTGAAACATAAAAAATAATTTCACATGAGCTTTGAAGAGAAAGTACGGTTGGGTGTGGCAAAATAAGAATCACTGATGACAAATTCAAAATTTCCGCTCAGCATGTGGTAGCAGTAAACCACAACAATTGGTACAAATTGTGAAAAATGAAAGTGCTAAAGTAAAACAACAACCTGGGAGATTAGATGAAACTGTTTCTGTAAGCAGCACAAACTGAGAAACTAGTATAAAAGCTATGGCACATCACTTGCTGTTATCAGATGAGAAAGTCCTTTGGGTAGCATTTTTGCAGCAGACAAAGACACACAGACCAATACACACACATAAAGTATATTGAAGCGGAGACAAAGGCAAACCTCGATTGCTCTGTAGACTGCTGTGTGTTGCAGGTTCTCAGACAGGGCAGGAATATTTGTGGGAGAGAGGGGACCGAATGCCCGGACAGCTAATACAGTCTCTTGCCATCCAGCTGAATCCCAATAAGTGCTGCGCCATAGCATGTTGCCATGACAACGGAGGCCTGTCTGAGAAGGAGGGCGGGAGGCTGGTTGTGTTTTCAACTGTCTGAGAGGCTTTAAAGAACGGCGGCCATATTGTATTTATTGCACGAACACAAAATTGGAAACAATTAAAAATAAATAAATAAAATAAAATAAAATAAAATCACATCATTGATAAATTATCCAAACCCCTTTAGACAAAAACTGCTATAAATGTAATACCTTTAAAATAAAAAAATTCAACAAATTTCCAAATGGTGCGCAATGCCCAAGACAACAATTTGCAAAACACAAAACAAAATTAGATATCAAATTGAACTCTCTGTTCATTAAATATAATTTGAGACTTTATTTACAGTTCAGTTTGCAGAAACTAAATCTCAAATGGATCACAGCAAACTAAACTCTACTTCTCCTGTTTTCCATTAAGTAAGCATGCAGAACAAAGAACAAGTTTACTACAGAGAGCCACTAAAAATAGCAGCATTGCCCCCTGAGTAGCATTTAGCCAAGTCATCTCAGGGGGCAGAAAACCGTGGTCTCATGGTAAAATGCACAATCCCTGTATGACTTTGACTGCAGTTGTAAATGAACTTCTCTCTGAGCTTAAGTTGGATGTTTGAACATCACTGATGCAGGTGTGATGACTCATCATTTACAAGGCTGAGTGTGTCTTAGCAGGTACAGTCATCATGCTACATAAGATGCGCTAAATGACTCAGTATAGACTCAAACCACACTGACTCTAATATGAGTCGTCCACAGATAGAACATCATGCTGGGTGATACATCCTCTTTCAAAGTGAGAATGAATGAACTTTAACTTCCTCTAAGAGTTGCAGATAGCAGACTATTTTAGTTTATTGTCAAAATCAAACTAGTCCACAAATACTGCTTTGTCAATATAAAAAAAACTGTGTCAATACCCGTCTGACCAGAAATCTTGTTTGCCTGAATAAACAGTGTGTGCCTGTGAGTTATAACTGGAAGATCTTAAAGTATTACAATAGTATTACAGTATTACAGTGATTTTTATATTTCTCTGCTACATTGCTACATTATATAATCAATGGCACTTCCTGGCCGCCATTTCCATTGTGAGGTATTAATTAACAGTTTCCTGTTGCTAGAGTTGACAACAATTTGAAACAAGTGAAAAGATGCCTCCATTCTGAATTGACAGACAACTGAAGAGGGGATCATATGACTCATCGGGGCATTACTATCTGCATGTTCATATTAAGAAGGACTGCCATGACAACTAAACCAGACCTAGTGCAGAGCTATGGTAGCACAGTGATGACTACCAACCAAACTCAATTACCATTAGTAATAATGATGATAAATGAACTGAGTGGCAGCAGATTTTACCACAAGCAGGCCTTGACTTGCCTTGCATTTAGGGTACTGTTGTGTCTATCATCTTTCAGCATTGCACATTAGGTCACTGTATTTAAGACTCACATCCTTTGACTAAAAATACATTCTCACAGTACCTCTAAGAAGCTCAATGGCTTGCTTAAAGACATGTTGACAGTAGTTTAAGGGTCACTGCTGCTCTCCCTCCTGCATATTTCCTTACAGTTGGGAAACACTACCCTCAATCATTAATCCATTCCTCAAAACAATCACTATCCCACATCTTAGCACTGAAAAAAAAAAGGTTTACAGAAACATCAAAACAAATATATTGTTATTACAGTATTACATCAGTGAGGCCTGTCCCTGTTATACCATACTAAGGCTTTTGATTATGTCTACAAGAGCTTTTGTTTATAGCCAACTTATTAGATTAGATTAAGGATCTCTTCTACAAGAGAGAAACAAGAATATGAAAAGGGAAAAAGAATGTAAGAGACTTATGATAGTGGCAGAATACTGAATTAATTCAATAAAAGCATCCACTATGTGTAGTCATCATTTAATGGCCCTATAAAGAATTAAATGTCATGCAGGGTTTTTTGTAAGGAAAAAGGATGTCTTCATTACTTGATATGGCTTGAGTCACCTCGACTGTTGACCAGACTGTTAGGACTGGAGATCACCTGTCATCTATCAGGACATTACTGCCATCTAGTGTTTAAACACTAGAAGAGCAAAATTGTTTTTCAAATACAAAATGTACACGCCAATCTTCTTGATCTTTTTAACAACATCAAAACAGTCAGATCCTTGGTTTTGTATAATCTGTTGTAATTATTTCTTTTCTTCTATTTTTAGATGACAGTGGTGTCCCCATGCACTCAGAATCTGATGGATAGTGCTCACCCTCACACCGTACTTAGCAAGCTGAATGAGCAGCGCTCACAGGGCCTCTTCTGTGATGTTACCATTGTGGTGGAGGATGTTAAGTTTCGGGCCCACAAGAACATCTTGGCAGCCTGCAGTGGGTACTTCAGGAACGCTTTGACAACTCCTGAGACATGGAGCTCCAGCCAAGTGCTGGAGCTGATGGACCTGAAGTCAGAGGTGTTTGCCAGTATCCTCAACTTCATCTACTGCTCAAAGGTGACATCACCTGCTGTAGAGGACACAGGAGGACTAGTGGCAGCTGGAAAAAGACTTGGAATCCCGTTTTTAGAGAAGCTCGCAGAACAAGAGAAAAAGGACAAATGTGTTAAATCGGCAGACTCTAGCACAGCCCCAGTGTCTAAAATAACTAAGAAGGAGGCTCCCAGGCCTGAGGAGATAGACAGTGCCAGAGGACCACGCATCACCAATGCCTTCTCTATCACTGAAGTGTGTCCTGGAAACAATCCTTTCACCCCTCTGGTACAACCCAGTGGGGAGAGGCAGTCACCAGATGTGGGACAGCTCCCATCAAGTTGCCCTACAACGTCCTGCCTCAGCGGGAACAATGAGACCACCCATGCCCTCTCAGAGCACTCATATGCAGTGAGCAAATCTACTGAAAGCAAAGACAACAGTCAGCCGGACAATAAGAAAGTCTGTAAGCCAGCAATATTACAGCCAAAGCAGCTCCTTTACAAGAACACAGGCCCGCTTAAAAAGCGTCACAGACTGAGAGGCATTGTGGGTAAAACAATACTTCCAGCACCAGCTGAACCACAAACAGATAAACCAAATACAATAACCTCCACATTAGCTGATGACGTTACTGCTGTTGCAGTCATGACACCACCTCCACTTTTTTCAGGGGTAGAAAAAGAAAAGAGTGTGGACCCAGGGCTACCCACAGCCACTGACAACGTTCAGATGGAGTTAGGTCCACCAGCCCTTTCCCCTCACACAGAGGACAGCATCTCAATCTATGGATGTGAGCACTGTCCAGAAATATTCACAAATAAAGCTCTTCTCACCGTTCACTCAGAAGTACATAAAAAACGTTTCGTCAGTCATTTGTTTTGCAAGTTTTGTCACAGAAAGTTCATACACCTCAAACGGCTGCGCAACCATGAACAGATCTGTCCTAAAGCTGTAAGAGACCCACCTAAACTAGATGCCACTGACATACCAGCCAAAGAGGTGGACCTCCATTCAGATGACATGCCGACCATTGAGAGCATTGTGACACAGCTTCCCTCTGCTGACCTCTCCAGCCCTTGCACCCCGGAGCCCCTTCAAGTGGACCAATCAGAGCTTGAACAGGAAGAGAGGGTTGTGAGGCCAGGTGGCAGTCAGAGGAGATACAACTGCAGTGTGTGTAAACGGGTCTATGTCACCCTGTCCAGTCTGAAGCGGCATGAGAATGTACATTCCTGGCAGAGGGCCTATCCCTGTCACTATTGTAATAAAGTGTTTGCTTTGGCAGAGTACCGTACAAAGCATGAAATCTGGCACACAGGTGAACGACGTTATCAGTGCATTTTCTGCCTGGAGACATTCATGACATACTATATCTTGAAGAACCATCAGAAGTCTTTTCATGGCATTGATCCCAGTTTAGCTGTTAAGAAAAAATCTGCCAATGGTGGGTTGAAAGCCAGTGTTTACCCAATCAAGCTCTACAGGCTTCTGCCTATGAAGTTTAGAAAGAGAAAATACAAGACGTACAGTGAGACATACTCAGAGAGTGTTGAAAGAGGTGACCAAGCTCCACAAGACAGCAGCTCTCTTATCCCTCCATTTGAAGAAAATGGCCTGATCAGCCACCCTGACACTGTGTCATTGCCTCTGACATTCATGGCAACGACAAAGACGATGGCTCCTGTCATGCCTCGCATTACCTTTGACAAGCCATGTGACCAAGATATTGACGAAAGTCTGAGCAGTGAAATGGAAATTCCGAGAGGCACAAGAAAAGAGGCTGAGAATAGAGATTCCCCCTTCATTAACTACAACAGTACCTTCTCTTTGCAACCCGATGCAGAGGGTTACAAAGTTGATCCTCCAGTGCTAATGAACTCAGAATACATCAGTCATAATGTGCCACTCTTAAACTCTTTGAACACTGTTAAAAAGTTAGGTGAGCTATCAGCCTCTGCAAAAAGAGTGGAGGATATGACCAAGGAGATACTTCAGTCAAGCACTGAGACTCTAGTGCGTGATAAAACGGTGGGCGCAAAGACAGAAACATATATTGCCAAACCTGCATGCCCAGGTCCATCAGTGGACGGTGATACCATGCCACTCTGTCAGATAACAGTGAAAATAGGCAATGAAGCCATCATCCGCCGCCGAATCAAAGGATCCAAGCTCTTCCCCAGAAAAAAAAGGAGAGTAAGAGAACTGAGGGACGACGAGAGCCCAAGTCAGTGCCCTTCAACAAGAGAAAGCTCAGAGAGCCCCAGGCTCCGCCTTAGACCTGAAGTCACTGTCACCAAAAGGCCAGAGACATATGATGATCCTAATGACTGTGACACAGGTGATAAGCTTTGGCGTCCCTACTATTCTTACAAAGCTAAAAAGAAAAGGAAGAAGCTGCGATTCAAGCACAGAAAAGCTTTGTTCCACCGTTACCCTGAAACAACTGTAGATAGAGATGCTGCCACTGAGGCCCCCCTTGACAGAAGCAATTGGCTGACAGAAGAGTTCATCTCAGGTGGTAGTGCAGAGGTGAAACGTAGCCTTACCAGGAACTGCAGCCCGAGGGCCACCTACAACTGTGACATCTGTGATAGCTCTTTCATCACAGAGACTGGTCTGAGAGCTCATGTTATTGGTTCCCACCCATGTTTCTGCAGGACCTGTGGTAAACAAGGTCCCCCTGGTGAAGCACCCGCTGGCGGCGATTACATCTGCAACAGTTGTATGGAAAATGGCTCCTGCTTTGACAATACACCCCGGAGCCCCAACCCAGAAAAGAAGTATCGCTGCTCCTTCTGTCCCCAGCGTTTCCTCTACCTTGCCACCAAGAGAAGCCATGAGAAAAAACACCAAGAGACAAATGAGGAGGAATATAACTATGACAACTTTACACCATGCTCTAAATACCTAAGTGAAGACAATAAACAAGACACCATCAAAACAGAAGACAGTGACAATCAAGGGGGCACTGACATAAAAAGTGAAAGGGGAGACGGAGGACATTTTATCATTGATAAAATTAAACCTAAAATTGAGGACACAACTGACTTTATGTCTTTGACTACATACCAAGACATGTCATATTCCAACATTAAAAGTCCATTATCACCCTGCATTGACCCACTGTTTTCCCTGACATCCTCGAAGGTGAAACATAAAATGGTGAAAAAAAGGATCAACGCACTGCATTCCATGCATCTCATCTCAAAAAAGCAAGCCCGTGACAGAGACAGCGATAGCAACAAGGATATTTTGACGGGGCCAGCAACAAACAGTCACAATGATCATGAGACATCCTGTAAACTGTTTAGGAAAAATGACTCTGAGACTAAAGGTACCCACATTTCTATACACAAGCCAGAGAAATGGGTCTGCAAAGAGGAACCATTTTTTTAAAGATTGTTGAAGGACAGCGATCAACTATAGGCAAAAGTGAAAGTGAATAAAATTTGACTCTGAGCCACTGCTTTGGTTAGGAGATGTAGAATTTGTAATTTGCAGCTGAGCTCAATAAAATGTTTGGAATAGATGTCACCAAACACGAGGATCTAATACCAGTGTGGGCTGTAATTGTTTCCCTCCTCAACTCAACAACTGAGTGATTTTTCACCTTTGTAAAAGATTTTTTTTGGATAATATAGGATATTCTGACACAAACTGTACTTTGTCCATTGTCTATGCATATAAGGCAGACTCAGTGACATGACTGTAACCTCAAGAAGAGAAATGAATGTTGGTAACATTTCTAGTGTGCAGTTTCAGAACAGGGGTGGGATGTGTTGGACAACTGAAAACTGACTAGTGAAGTGACATCTTCACTTTTTAAAATAAGTCTGGGGAAAACAATATGAATTTTACGACTGTCACATTTTTTAATCTCCCGTTCAGTTAACTGGGCATGGTGAGTTGCACTTTATAGTCTGACTATGCTAATGTGTTGGTTAAATACTTTGATAATCCAATTTCACTTCTAAACACCATTGATATACTTCTAATTTCTAATTAACACATGGCACCATTGAGTTAGTACTTTTGTGTGTTTAATATGTATAAAACATGTAAAACTATTTAATAAATGTTGTTGATATTCTAAACAATTAGGCTCCATCCTGTCCTCCTTTAAGACTAATTAGAGATATGATAAATGCTTGACTATTAATTCACAGCAGAGACCAATGACCAACAAGTCATACTGACTGAGAGGCACATTTACTGATATTGATGGTAAAAGAATAGTTACAGAATCCCTAAAAATCATGCATTTAAATTGTGGAGATTTTTTAAATAGGAAACTTTAAATAGCAAGACCAAAACAGCCATACTGACAACCAAAAGATTTCCTAAATATAAAGCCACGTGGTGGTTATATGCTCCTGCTGGTCCTTTAGGGACCTGCAGCCCATCTGCAAAGTTCATTCCAATCCTCTTCCTCACAAACTGCATCTGTATTTAGAGTTGGGCCTCAAAACACAATTTCCAGATGTTTCTAAATTCTTTGCTTCTTTCTAAGATTGGCTTTGTGATGTAACAGACGGATTATAACTTTGTGGTAGAAGGAACACTCAACATACACACCCTATCCCAATGCAATCTGTCATTTAATAAAGGATGATTACTTATTAAATGCAGTGTTAGCAAGAAATCATGATGTTATTTATGTTATTCCAGATTAAATTTGAGAAGAATTTTCATTTTACTTTTCATTTATAATCTGTAAGTATAATGTCATCAGAAGATATTGCACCTTGAGAATATGGGCACTAATGTGAATTTAAATCATTATATTGTGGTAGCAAAGTAAGGACCATATACACACGCTTTATATTGTATATGCATTAGCAAAATATAAGATACAAATCCAACATACACTTAGTTCTAGGGTATGACCCTTATTAACCCTCATTTAATAAGCAAATACAGATATTTATGTTATACAGCCTTAACTGAATGGCTATATTTAAAAAAAAAACAACAAAGATCTGACAAAGTATTTTACATTAATAGTCTTGATTCCACTAAAGAATACTGTACAGTGTAAAAGCGGTCACCCCTGAGATAATAAATATTTCCCTTTAATGAGGTAAAACAGTATAAACAGTAGGTATTAGTGTGTGCTACATGTTAACAGGAGACTAAGATCATACATAGAAATTGGCAATAAAAATTATAATGCATACCTTACTGCCCTCTCAGGATCCCTGCCCCTATCAGCATTGAGGATCAGACCTGTATTTCACCCAACCAAAAGCAACATCACCTTGAAAGACAGGAGGAGAACAAAGGATGTTGGTCATATTTTCTGCCAAAGGAGGATACTGAATACAGATTAAAATGAATTACCTTTCAAAATCTTGGAATATTATATTTGGGAAAACTGTGCAAAACATTGTGTACTGCTTACTCAATTGAAATAAGCATTCACAACATTAGCACAATGATTAGGAAATTAGTGTCATCTTAGCTATTAGTGTTCTGCTAAATGCTGGAAGTCAGGTAAGACACAACCACTATCATATATCTCTTTGATAAAAATGAGAGCAAAACATTACAGGATGTTTTTTTTACAGAACTGTGCAATAACGTGTTTCAAATGATATTTGCAATGGATACTGGCATCTTTTATTACTGGCATAATACCACAACAATTTTTAAACTGTTTTTTTTTTTATTTTTTTTTTTTACTTTTACTGTAGTTTGAGAGTCACTTCAATGTCCTATAGGCCTAGTCTTTGGTTGATATCACAACTGGCTATTCATTAAAATGCTAACTTTAGCTGTATGTTGACAAATAACAGACTAGCTAGCTGTCATGTGTGAATTTGTAGGCCTATGTGTTCACAGACATATTTATATAATTTTTAAAATTAGTTACCAGGTTTCCAAGCTTTGAAGATTGTTCAAAGTGAAAATGTTTTCATTTGAGCTGGAATAGACAATTAATCGATTAAGCAGAAAATTAATCGGCAGTAATTGTGATAATAAAATAATTTTAGTCATTTGTGTAGCTTCTTGTAACCTATATTTTGAGGATTTTGTGCTTATCTTTGTCACTCATTGTAGTAAATTGAATATTTAGGTTTTACACTGTTGGTCAGATTAAACAAAACATATAAGGAGGTCATCTTAGACTGGGGGTATTTTGAACTTTTTTCTAGCATTTCACAGACAAAACGATTAGTCAATTAACTGAGAAAATAATCGGGACATTAATCGATAAAAACAATAATTAGTTTTAATCAGTTCTTTGACAAGTGACGATTTTCGAAAATGTGTCTCACACATGTTATAGCCTGTACAACATGGTTAACCTAAAGCACTGACATCCAAGATTATCTAACTGAGTTATAGCTCCACAAGTTAAAGTATGTGTTCTTCACAAGCGTTACATAATGAACAACACTACTGAGACACCTCAAATCCCTTTTAAAGCTCCTACCATCTCCAGATTGAAGTACTAACCAAAGCGCGGCGCTCGACTTTTGAGGAAGCTTGACATTTCTCCAGGCGTTTTAAGACATCAGTGTGTACGGGACCTAACGTGACGCGGCAGTGGGGCTGTCTTTCCTCCGCTCTGCCTGCATTCATAAACGGATATGATAACCCAGCGCTGAAAGCACCGGAGCAGCGACAACAGTCAGCTCTGACCATGGCGGAAGAGGACGACGCGCGGATTCGGATTTTACAGAGCCTGCGGGGTAAAATATGTAAGTTTGACTGGCGAGCCGGTGTTTTCCGTCTCCCACAGTGGGCGCGGGGTGGGAGAGAGGTCGGTAGAACCAGCGAGCGGCGAGAGGAGAAGCCGGAGGGGCGCGGCGTGCTATCGGCAGTCGACAGTGTGGAGGCAGAGACAGCCAGTTCATCTGGTCGGTCTGCTGGTTAACGTCAAGTTAGCCTCGCATGCTAGCAGCAGCTACTAGCTTGTTGTGAATGATTTCATTCATCGAGTAGCGCCTCACGACCGTCAGCTTAGATGTTCGAGTAAATCGGGTGTTTTTTGAGTATTACAAATGGTATCGTTTTCACAACACGGGAGTTTTGTGTAGACTTGAGGTGCCCGGTAAGCTAAGTTAACGTTGGTGGCAAAGCAGGCTAGCTACAAGCACTTCAGCCCGTCGTCACTAAACCATTCAGCTGTAACGTTACAAACTGCAGGCATCTGGCAGTCAGGTAACTCACCTAAAGTTAGATAATAACATACATTTCAGCGACAACACAAAGGTTTAACTCATCAAATAACGTCTCAAGGAGCAAAGTAATGGTCACTTAACGTTAGCTACTGAAGACACCCACCGTTAAATACCAACAATAACCCGGTAACGTTGACTGTAACTTGTTGACTTACTAGTGCCAGTCTTTGTATCACAGTAATCTGCTGACTGATGGGTGAGGACTTGAGTTCAGCTCCTGTCTAAACACACACAGTTTCTTTCAGCAGGTCTCTGGATCCGATCTGCATGTGGAGGCAGAGATGAAGAAACATCCAAACTATCATGTGTCATCCTTTTCCACTACATTAATTATTATATCACCCATGGGAATGAGTTAGTTGTCTTGCCTGCATCACCAAATAATCTATTTCGCAAGGTATTAGTTATGATATTATAATTGACATGCATATAATAACAGTCCAAATCGGAAACATTGGCTTCAGAGTCAAATGTCTAACAAACCAGTTTCCTCATCCTCATTCACAGGCTGGGCTGGACCAGTGGAGTACCTGCCAAGAGCCTGTGCTCCTGTTTGAATGTGCAATTGTGGTTTTTGTCAAATTACTCAAGTCCAAGATGTGTATCTCAGGTTTCAGCCATTACTAACATTTAGAGATTCAAATTACACAAGCTGTACTGATTCCCATAATATACTTTTAATCGTATATAACAGGGTGTTAAATATGTTGCAGCAAACTTGATTATTCTCACTTTTAAAACACAGGCATTAGTTTACATCCCCTGCTGCATCACCATCCCTGTGTTGGTGTTTGAGGTAATTGATCATGGTTAGGATTAAATTTGCCACAATGGCATTGCTTCATCTTAATGGCGAAAGTAAAATTCAGTGCTTCTTCAGAAGAAGTCAGTTTATAATAGACTTATTATAATATATTAATAATAATAATCATTATTATTGTGTATTGTTTTGAACATGTTTTTGTCAATACATTGTTTTTAATATGCGCTTGGGAGACATTTTATGTTGTATGTATGTCATAACTAGCTTGTGACTTAATTATCTATTTACTGTAAGGTGAAAATAGGTTAACTAGTACGCAGGGCTTGTACATAGGCACACAATAGGAAGACAAATGTCAGTTTCACTACTATGAATTAATGAGAAAACGGTTAGCAGAACAAAATAGAGGAACTATCATGGCATGTAACTCACTTTGCAGTCTTACGAAACTCCATTCTTCCTCGTTCACACTTTGTCCTTTTTCCTTTAGCCTACATCAATGGAGGTGGCATTCTGTGAAGATGTATTCTCGTAGTAGTGTTTAGATGGCCAGGGCATTTTGATATATGCAATTGTTTGCTTCAAGGTCAGAATAAAAAAAGGAAGAGACCAGTTGTTAAAATGACTAAGCAATCTCCAGCTAAGACAGGTTTTATTTAGGCATACTCTCTGAACTTTAGGTCATGGTTTTCACAAGGTGACATGCTTCTGTTTTAGTTGGGATGTTACTGAAAAGAGATGGCATTTGGGTTGCTTGGTCAAACTATATTGTATGTGTTTGTGTCTGCGTGCTTGTGTGCCCTACTCCAGACCAGGTCATCCTGGTCTAAGCTTAGTGACAACTTGGCTGTTTTTACTGGCCATTCCTAAGATTAGCCATACACTCTTATTAATAGCCTGTTTAAAAAGCTGATCTCACTGGTGGCTTTTCTTAATTAGGTCCCAACCTTGGCTCAGGGTACCTATCCAAAGCCAAGGATCAATTTAGACTACTGTCGTTGCCCCTCTAATCCACCAGTCTAAATCTGAGTCATTGTGAAGTTATTGATAGTGCTCTGTTTGAGCGACTGCTGTTCTGATGGTTCAGGTTCAACTTGTCTAGCTTTGATTTGGTGCAGTTTTTATGCATACATTGCACAAAACCTCATGACATGTAATCTGCATTTGCCTGCAATGTAATGGAAGTGTGTGCAAGTGGTGTGTATTACAAAGGTGTTTGTCATTTGTGAATCAGCGCTGTACCGTCGCCATTGGTTATGCTGAGGAAGTCAATGTTTCATGTTTTTAACCACATATGAGCCTCAAGTCTACTTCAGCTACATCCGTTCTGCAGCTTACCCTGGCAACTGGCAAGAACTAGAGCCCCCATGTGAACATGAGGATTTTGAATTTAAAGGCATATTTTAGAAGTGTATTGTATGTGAGTGCAATCACATGTGCTTATATCGATTAAGATTAGCTTGTACTGAGGCAGCTTCAAACCTAACTTTAACCCTCACTTTTATTTAAGGACAGTTTTTTAATTCAAGATTAAAAGTAGGACTTCACTAATCCAAACACAGGTTGTTGTGTTTTAGTTTAAGACTGCCACTTGTTTAGTGAACTGCATTGGCAGAGTGAACCATTTGTCAAGATCTATATGATCTCGCAATCTCTTGAAGGTATATTATGTGTCTGCTAAAATGTTGTTTTGTTCACTTCTCTGTATAAACCCGTGTCATTGATGTGCCAAAGACACTGTATGAGTGCATATGTTTTTGCAATGGATTGACAATTGTTTTTCATTTAAACCAGGAAAGACTATTGTTATTTTGAGATAGTAATGATGTTCTTCTCTTTGTGCTGCAGGTGAAGCAAAGAACCTGGGTCCAGTCTCAGGTCCAAATCGACAAAGGGATCTCTGTACCTTTTGCACCATAAGTCTGGATCAGGAGGAGGTGTTTCGCACCAAGGTTATTGACAAAAGCGTCAGGTAAGCAGGATAACCCTGTAACCTCGAACATGCATGGAGTGAAATTGTTGTTTATTCCTGTTCTAAGCCCCATTTTCAGTTTTATTTCCAGTTAGGGTAACCCTTTTACAGCTATTACGCTACACCTGTTCAGTTACGTTAACAATACAGTAATTCAAACATTACACTTTGAGTACATTTCATAAATATCAAGAATACACTATGCCTACTTAGGTTATATGAGATGCTATTGGACTACATGATGAATAAGGATCTGCAAAAGTCTTTGGTTGATTAGATAGATTCAAGAAACGTCTGTATATATTATTTTAATGTAGCACATGTGGCTGGCTTATTCTTTGCTCTGATGTTGAGCACAGACTAGCTCTTTTGTCCTAGTTTACAGGTTTTACATATTGTTGACGTATTATAGATGAATAATGTAGTTTTAATAAGGAGCACTTTCCATATCTTTCTTAAAAATGGTAGGATGGTAGTATTTGGCAAAAAAGATGGCTTCAGAATGTAAAATCTCACTGGCTATATATAGAATAATAGTGTAGTAGGTAGTAGGAAGTGTGAAATTACCAGTAATAGCATATTGTAAAAGGTACAGTGACATGCTTAGGGTAATCAATAAGTAGCAGGTTCATATTATGAGTTGGGAAAAAATAGCTGTGTGAGTAGTATGAAAATATTCTACGATTTATTTCCTGGTCAGAGCTGTTCTTTAAGTGACATCGAAAAATACTTCAGACATCATCCTCTATATGATTCCATGTCAAGGCATTGCACACCTCATCTACATCAAGTAATGTTGGCTACACAAGAGATCCAAACATCCTTTTGTTTATATGGGCAGAGGTATTGGGTGCAGTTTCTTATTTGTTCCATTTCCGCCTCAAGTAAATCTTTCAACTTGATAACGGACCTTTTGTATGGTTCCCAGTGCGCTTTTACAATCTGTCTTTTGGCTTTGTCTGTTGGAACCTGGGAGGTAATTTACTCCATAATGATTTGTTTCAGCCCTAGTAATATTAATGTACAGTGATGTTAATCGTTTATGTAGTAATGTAATGCAAGAGCTGTCATGATGGATTGTTGATTCATACTTTTTATATTAAAGATGGGTGAATAACAGCCACATATATATACATTATATATATGTGTATAGTCTATCTATAGTATTAAATTAAGTGATTTTGCATTTGACCTGGGCACATATTCTTCTGGATGTAAGACACAGCTTACTCAAATATCTTGCTAAGGAAAATCTCTCATGTGGAAACAATTATACTGAACTGTGTAGCCTTTTTGTTTGTTGTAGGCCTATCATGGGAAAAATATCCGGTTTGAAATGCAGTCATTTGATTACATCTTAGAAAGTGTCAATACGTGGCTCATAGCTGTATGTGTGTGTGTGGTACCACTTGAGCAGGGAAACATGAATATATTCTGACTGAAATTAGCTATTTTACCAATAGTTACATGCTCACAAGTTGGTTCAGAGAAAGGTGTGGGGCATTGGCATTCAGGAAACCTTTTAGGTTTCTATCTACATCATTGCACATCTCACTGTAAACATGGGCCTGCCTTCTCTAGGTATTTCACAACAGCTCTTTTTTTCTCTCTCCTGATTTCGGTGCCGTCAAAAGGATTTTATAGTCTCTGAGGAAGTGTGTCCTCCCACGCTCTCCCCTGTCTTTCTCTCTGTGTCACTCTCAACTACCTTAGCCTCTCTTTAGCATGTCTTAATAATCACTCAAATTTGGCCCACTGTTTATATGATGGTGCTTGACTCATGTGTGTTGTATGGGCTCCTGTTTCTAATGGTTTAAAAGCTGTATGGGTGCTCTAATTGCAGCTAATCCCAAGGATAAAGCAGGCATGTACAAACAGCTATGGTCAAGTGGTTCTACCTAGCATTCTCACATTGTTTAGAAGCTAGGATGACAACAGAAGGGAAGGTAGTATAGTGGGTGTATCTTTGAGTGTGTACAGAATAGGGAGGTTACAAGTGCACAATTCCATGTGATGCTGAGGAGTATGTGTGGGTGTACACTGGATGTGTTGGCCAAACCCAGTGTGAGAAGTGTCAGGAAAGATATTTCACCATCCAAGATGCATAAATTGTAGAAGGAAGCATCAGTGCAGAGATTAAAAAGGTATAGGATCAGGTTCCCTCAATACTGGCAGTGAATATTTATACAGAGATGCCTGTTTTCAAGCCTATCCTACAACTCATTCAAGGCACCTGACCCATAAGCTCCAGTAATATCTGACAGGCGAAGACTTGAGTGTACGTAATTTTTTTCTGAAAAACTAGTGTATGTCTACACCAAGCAAGCAGCTACCAAGTTGTTTATATGCTAGTTTTTTTTCCCCCCCTCCAAATGAACAGACGAGACTCAAAACTCTGTCAACGTACCTCACGTGACATGACTGGTAAGAACATTTAAATCAGGGATCGCAGTTTTACTTGAACATATGAACAGTTAATCCAGTACAACTGTCTGAGTACTGCTCAGTCTGTTTGGGACAGGTGGTCCATCTGCAGGCAACACGTACATCGAGGTAGTGCTTAACCTACAATCGGCTATGTCAGATCAAGCTGTCTTGCTCGCGGTCTTGGTCATGAGGTAGCTATGTTGGCAGGACTGAGTGGCACAGATGCTTGGGCCCTCTGTGTCTCTGCCCGCTCCAGCAGGACAGTCAGTGTTGTCTGTTTATCTGTGTTCGCTGTGCAGTGGACGAGCAACCTGTCCAGGGTGTGAGGATGTGAATATCATCATAAAATGATTCAGTCCATATGATAATATTCAGGGAAAGGTCTCATTTAATTTACAGAAGTCTTGAATATAAGTCTATAATATTTTTCATTCTGTAGACAATAATGTTTTTTGTATGTGGTTGCAGGTTGTAGTGAGACTTTACACATCTGCAAACCAAAAAGGAGACTGGTGCAATAGTGGATTGTGCAGGCTGTTTTATAGTTAATATTTATTAATATTTCTTATAATTATTATAATTATTATTACTATTACAAAGCTAGGAAGCTTATCGGCAAATAAAGTGTTAGTTTCAACAAAAACTTAAAGCAATTTATTATGTTTCGATTGGTAATCCACTTTCTGACACATACTAGGAACTACTGTTATACAGCTGGGAAGTACTGACAAAAATGTGACAAATGTCAATAAATTTATATTTCACAATATGTAATATAATAATATAATTGGTAATAAATGTATTCACACACAAAATTATCATTCTTACTGGATTTCTGTCATTGTTTAAACTTTGAAAAAGGTATTAAACTATATTTTAAGTGGTAAAGTATTAAAAAGGTCTGAAAAAGTCTTGATGAATGATTCAGTGAACATGGCAGAATTATTGCACAGCATGCTGGGATAGCAGCTAACCCCAAGCAGTCCTGCACAGTGTTAGTACGGTAGGTATAGTGGATAGATGGATATTTATTATTAGTCGAAGGACCCTTGCTCACATCTGTCCAGCTAGGTTGACAAAATCATGAGAATGTCAAGTTTGAGCTTTCCAGTAGAAAAAAAAACTTTTCTCAGTAGATTGTTTTTCCTGTAGCTGTATGATCTGGCTCTTTACAGCACTTGAATTAAAAACCTAAGTCTGCCCTCTTTCATTTTGCTGTACAGATATTTGTGACACTTTCTAGTTACATGTTTACGTTAATTTTCCCTTTTAGATTAGTGTACACTGTTAGACTTCATATTAAGGAAAGGACAAGAAAGGTTATGGAGAGTATGGATGGCAAAAGTGACAGATTTAAACCTGTAACATGGCAAGAACATTCCCCTAAACCCTGATGAGTCATAAGGGCACCCCGTGTCGTCCACCTTCTGCTCAGGCACTCATTTCCCAGCAAACAAACAAATCCTGTGTATGTGATCTGCTTAAATATGATAATGTTATTATGTTAAGGCTGGAGCACTACATACAGTCTACATAATCTAGATAAACACAACTTTGTATAACAGTAATTACATCACTTTTATAACACAACAGCAGTACATTACATGAGGAATTTAATTTAGTGATCACATGATTTTACAGTATAGAATTAGGTCAGGTGAATGGGAACAATGCAGTTGAGGAGATTACAGCAATTATAGAGTGTTTAAAGTGACTGTAATTGTTTGAAGCATGCAACACTATACAAGAATTTAATACTGATTGCATTACTCACATGACTATCATTTATTAGCTGCAATCAGCTGGTACTGTCTTGGTCTGTCCCAGGATCTGCAAGTACTGGAGAGCGTCTTCCCTAATGCCCACTCTTGTGGTTATTTGCAAGGAGTCAGGGGCCAACTTGGAAAGAAGAGGAAGTGTATGTTAAAGCTGTGTGTATAGCATTTTTACTATACACAAGGGTTAAACCTGGATGATGATGCCATCCTGTTGCTCAGAATGTGATGCTTTTTGTAATGTTAAGCATAAAAACTCAGTGATCCCAATTGTTGATCTCCAATTTGCATTGGAACCAGTTGAAGTAAACTTTATTGACCATTAAGCAAAGTGAGTAAGATTATCATGCTCAATAAAACACAAAATGACAATTTTTATTTTTCAGCCGTAGCATCAATATTTAATCAGATAACAGGTGTTTAGAGCTGCATTGATTAGTCAATTAAACGATAAGTTGATTTAAAAAGTAGATTTATCATTTCAGCTACTTTTCACTCAAAGAAACTCAGAACTCAGCTTTTCTTTTTTATATATGATGTTTTATGACATTGTTGCATTTTGGTCTGATGGACGGGAAAAATCAAACAATTTTACGATGTCACCTTGGGCTGTGGGAAGTTTCAAGGGGCATTTTTCACTCCTTGTTGATATTTCATAGCAAATAATAGAGAAAATAATTTGCAGATTAATCGACTAGGATAATAATTGTTAGTTGCAGCCCTACTGGTGTTGCACACAGTCAAGAATCAAGTGTCACGCTTAACAAATCATTAATTAAGCCTATGTGTCACAACTTCATTAAGGTAATCAGGCTATAGGCACTAATCTGATCACAGTTTATCACACATTACACCACCTACCAATACACATTCTTACACACTGCTGCTCCCTCCCAAAAAGATGAAACTGTGTTTGCTAATTTAAATCTCTGCCTTGATTTGCAGCCCTTTTTATGGAGAGGACTTCTACTTTGAGATCCCACGTCCATTTCAGTGTTTATCCTTCTATGTTTATGCCAAGAGTGTTTTCCAAAGGGATCTAGCTGTTGGTAAGTAGCATAAGGCACCTACACAAGTATATTTTCTCATCTGCATGGATGAGTAGTAGTTTCATGTGTGTGTTTGTTTGTTTGTCTTTTCAGGCAAGGTATCAATCCGGAAGGATGACCTGTGTAAATACAGTGGGAAGGAGCACTGGTTTGGCCTTCAGCCAGTAGATCCTAACTCAGAGGTCCAGGTAATTTCTCAAAAGAAGTTAAAATGTGTCACCTAATTTACAGCATATCTCATCCTGATAATATTTTTTAAACATTTTGGTCTTGACTCTTAGTTGCTGTTGCTTTAAAGTTGACACTAAAGGTATTGATAATTAGGCTACATCACTGACCTCTGTCTCAGGGGATGCATGCTTTCACAACTTGCAGCACCCCAACATAATAAACAGGAAATCCACTTGCATGTGGTCTGAAATTTGCATTCAGATAAGATCATTTCCATGTCAGAATAAGGTTTATAGTCTCTGTCCAAACTGTCTTGTTTTTACAGTTTGTAAATGAAACCAAGACAGGCTCAACTCTGTTCAGTGATACCCCGCTGCTGTCAGCCTACACGCAGTAACGACTCAGCATAGTCTGGTTGCAGAAAAATGAAATGCAATAAGCAAGACTCAGGTTTTGAATGTTTCTGGCAGACCTGAATGAAGAAAAATACTATAGGATTTCTTAACTTTTAAACAAGAATCCTATATCTAAAAGGATTGCAGAACAACCATTTGCACATTGTATACACTTTAGTGTGTTATCATGAAAATATGACAAACTGTGGAATATGACATTAAGACAGCAGGTGGTTTTAAACCCACATCACTGTGAATATTGTTTTTGGTGTTGTACTATTGTTTGATCATCATTATTTGTGCCACCTGCAAGACTGAGATGTGACCACCAATATAAGAGCTCTTACATTGGACTTTGACATGGTGTTTCAAAAGTCTGGATAAAATTCATGAAGTATTTGTCTCTAGCTCTCTCCCATCTTTTATAACATGCAAATGTAACTGGTCTGTTGCTGTGACTGCATGCAAGATGGTTACTTAGAATTTGCATACTGCCTAAATCCAGGTAGTCATTGTTTTATACCACCAGCGTGTCACCTGCCCAAAAGCCCAAGATAAAATATTGTAATGAAGTCAATACTCAGTGACATTAGTTGTCAACGTTGGAAACTTCACTGAGTGTCTATGAATTATGTGGTTGATTAATTTGCTGTTAAAAGCCTTTTTTTGTACAGTTGTTTGCAGCTGGTTGGAGTAGTTAGCACTCAGCTGTAGCACTCACTAATGATTACAATACTGTAGCTACTGTACAGTCTTGACCAATCAGGAGTTTTTGGCCCAGTGTCTGTTTTTATGCTGTTTTTCTTTTTTTTCCCTCTCAGCATTTTATTGATAATTTCTTCAGGGGTGCAGTTCTAATTCTTATCACATATAGGGCATGTATGTGGGTTGTTCTATTTGATCAGATAGTTTCTGTGGTCTCGTTGCTTTGGGTGAAACTACAGCACACTACCACTTCTGTGCTGCTGTAGCTAACGTATTGACTCTAGCTGCCATTAGCCCACGCCAGACTATTCTGGGTATGTGCTGCTACACTGATTCACTCACAAGTAGACACTTTCAACTGCAGAGTTACATTAGTGAGTGATGGAGGTGTTTTTGCAATGCCTCTCTGGCTTGGTTTTACAGTCAAACAGGCGCTGTGTATGTATTCTGTGAGCAGTGTTAATCATATTCTAGTGAACTTGCCCAGTTAATAAAAAAAAAAAAAAAAAAAAATTGCAATGATAGAACAAACGCTACACATCTTTTTGACCACATTCATTAGCCAAAAGGGAAGACAAGGAGTGGTAATGTGAGCATTCATTTGCTGATGATGTTGGCCCATTCAGATCATTGCAAAGTAGTTTGTATTATATTGGCTTAAAGGCCTATCTTGCATCAGAAAGAACTACTCGCCATCTCACCCAAGTGCTGAATTGCAGAGATGGAGTGCAAGTGTGTGGGCGTTTTGTTTAGCTCTCTCTCTCTCTCTCTCTCTCTCTCTCTCTCTCTCTCTCTCACACACTCTCACTCTGTACCTCTCTCTCTCACTCTCTGACACTTCCGAAGGCAAGACCGGCAGCCTTCACCACATCCGACCCCGTAAAGATCCTTCTGAGTGATGACAAAATTCACAGCTGTTGTGGCAGCTTGTAACACATGGTACCTCTATTAACCTGAAACAGCATGAAACATGAAGTGGAGCTGGGCCACAGGTCGGGGATGACCAGAGAATAATAATACTTTCATTGCATTAAAACAAAATGCAATTAAAGTATTTTTACATGTCATCAGTAAAGCAAAAATTAGGCTTAGTGGGTAGGTGAACTGAGGGATTTGGCATCTGGTCATTTTCTCACAAGCACACACTACAGCCCACACTTATCTTGCTTTACAGCCCACATGTTAGCTTGCGATTCGGCTTGAAACTTTTGACTCTTGTGTCCTGATGTAAGACTGAGATCTCTTGACTTGAATAATTTGTAACTTCTCAGCAGTGACTCTCCTCTCCTCATCTTCAACAGGGTAAGGTTCACCTTGAGATGCGATTGAATGAAGTGATCACAGAGAACGGCTCAGTAGGTCAGCACTTACTAGTCCGGTGAGTACCAAGGTTCCCCTGTTGCCAGGCAAGTTTGATCTAATTCACTTTGCTGTCTCATGAACTGGGAAAGTTTGCAAGGGATTTGACATCAAGGTAGTATTTTAAGAAGTTTTAAAAGCTGAGAGTTGAACCAAATGAACAAAAATCAAATCCTGTTTTCAGGTTTATTCATACAGCTCTTGAAAAACAAAACAAGTTTGTGCCAAAGTGCTAAACATAGGAAGATCAGGTATACATACAGTATATATACATGTGTCTTACATGTACAAAAACACACTTAGAAAGCAAAGGCTGCATTAAATAAGCCTAACTAAGCCTGAAAAAACATAATAAAAACAGAAAATCAAAGTTATATGAGGCATAGAATTACAATAGACAATCAGGAATACAAAAAATAAAGATAAACACAGAGTAATGCAGCAAATCAACATTTGTTAATCAGCATTTTAAGTTGTGTGGCTTGATGGGGGAAACACAACACCTCACTGTCCTGTACAGACTTAAAGGTTAGGGAGACTTTTTCCACACTATTCCCAAAACAAACAAACTGTGTATTGTAGCATTGTTTCACAGGCAGTAACAAAGGCAATGGCTCACTGAAAAGCTCTTCCTCTTCTCTGAGCTGCAGTGAGTACAGCTAGTGAAAGGATTTTCGGCTGTATACGCTTTCTCAGTGATTGTAGTATTATATGTGTCTGGGTAGAAAATTATAAGAAATGCACTATTTGTGCTGTGTCCAAATTGGAAACATCTTTTCTTAATAGCTCTGAGAAAGATAAATGAGAAAGAAAAGAGAAATCCGTCAAAGCTGTTATCAAAATGTGGTCCTCATTGATGAGATCATATCATTTGGAAATCTTAGCTCTTACCCATTTGTTTTAGGTTTGGTGTGTGTCACAATATTACTTTATCGATCACCTCTATGTCCCAGCTCTGCTATTGACATCAAAAAGTTGCCACAAGTACAAACTGTTACCAGATAATCATACAGTAGGATCAAAAGAACGCGCTCATTGAAGGATCAGGCGGAGCACATGTGCGTACAAGTATATGTGTGTATGTGTCAGACCTGATGCTGTTTACGTGTGATGTTTTGCACCCCCCATTCATACTTGAAGAGCAGGCTAATGAGGAGGAAGTGATGGCATCTGAGCAGGAAGCCTGCGCTTCTCACACTGCAACCGCTGTGGTTTTCTGCTGCCGTCATTCACTGTGTCACTCAGATTGTTTGCTTAAGCTGTAACTGCTCACTGTCAGCTTTCACCATATGTGCATGTTCACTCATCTGTGTCTGCATGGCGCCCTGCTGCAGTGTGATTAGCCACCAGAGATGGTCAGAGATGGGAATGAGTTTAAGAACAAGATGCAAAGGAGAGACTACAGGGAATATTGTCATGACACCCTGGAAGATGATACACAAACATCCTGACATTCGCTCTGCGGGGCTTCTCCCTCTGGCATCACTTAGTGCTGGGCTGAATTCATTCTTATTCTCTGGTGACTCCTGCTTAGCAGCCACATCCTGTTTAGAGTGCCGACAGTGTCTGTTTGTTGTCACCTAAACACCTGTGAAAATAGCAGTGGTCCCTGTGTGACACGAGGCAATAGTGAGGGCAGAGCAATACCTCTAAATGAAGACTGTAACACCATGGTGTCAGTGCATAGTGCCGTTTTATATTGGTGACAGTCTGCTTTACTCTCCGCCTCCATGTCTGTTTGAGAAGCGAGGACTTGGCAGCAGTGTCATTTTTTAAATTGTGATCTTGACAATTGACTAAGCAAGACTGAGAACTGATAAACTGGACAAAAATGAAACAGAGAAAATCACTTTTGACTTGCAACCAAATTCATAGCAATATGTTAGTCCTTCTGTTCTGTGTCCAATGCTGCTTCCAGGCATCATGACCAATTTTTTTTTCTTCAACAAAATACAACACTATGCATCAATGCTTCATCAAGAAGAGAGGATCCAATAATTAGATTGATGATTGATTATGTTTAAATGAAAATGTTGTCCTGAGTCAACATTTTACAATCACAGAATCTAAATAGCACATCAAAACATGGATTTTTTTTTAGCTTTGTACAGTACAACCCTTATCAGCAGTGTTAGTGGTGCTTAAAAGGTTGTTTTTTTTTATATGATATGCATGAGTTAAGCCTGATTTTAATTTGGGTAAAAAGTATTTAGTGAACTTTATATGTATTATTTACATCGAACATACTGTTATTGTGTGTTTGTGTGAGTGAGATAATTATGACGATGCTGCCTCTCAGCTATTCTAGCTGTAGAGGAGTGCCTCGGAGCTGAGCACCCGTGACACTAATAATAGCATGTTGTGTCCCTGGATAGTAATTGTACTTATTTCTTTGTGACTTCCTGTAGGATAATCGAGTGCCAGGAGCTGCCTTTGATCAGTGGGCAGAACTGTGACCCCTATGCCACAGTGTCACTTGTTGGACCTGCCAGGTAACTGGATGCCACACACACCACAGGAAGTGTTTTTAAGTATAGAAGCTGTATGAACTGTCTGACCACCTGCCAGGTTTAAATTAGCTTTTTAAAATCAATGTGTTCAAAACAGATTACACTGGATTTCTAGAGCTGGCTAACCAAAGCTCTACAGCCAGAATATTCCAAAGCATTTGGACTCTGGCTGTAAATGTCTGCTCACCTTTTGCCACTAACCTGGACCTTGTTTCAATTAGTAAGACAACATCTGAGGATTTTAAGTCATGTCCTGGCATTTACAGGATCATGAGCTCAGCAACGTAACCAGGGGCCAGTGCATGTAGTGCTTTAAATGTTAACAATAAAATGTTAAAACAGACTGGGCCAGTCGAGGGAAACTCATATCAGTTTGATATTTATGATCCATTTGCACCTGTAACTGTAGTTGCTAAAGGAAACTGAAGCTAAGGCAGTAGCATAATGATTTGCAATTATCTAATCTTGAGAAAGCAGTAGATTTAGATTTAGATTATGGCTGCAATCTTGATGCAAAGAAATTAAAACAGGATTCAAAAACTATTGTGGAAATAGTATTTTTGCTTACTATGAGCAGGGAAAGTTTTTAAAATGTGAGTATCAAAGTTTCTGTAACGTTTCTCCTCAGGTCTGACCAAAAGAAAACAAAGGTAAAGAAGAAAACCAGCAACCCTCATTTTGAAGAGACCTTCTTCTTTGAGGTAAATTCTGAAACTTCGCACTTTGCTGTTTAACCACATCATGGGTTTGAAATGATCTGCTGGTTGCATTGCTGTTGGATTATGTGAAACAGAATCATAAAAAAAAAACTGTATTTGTACAAGTAAACCAGTAAGTAAGCCTTGACATGTTCATCCTCAGGTCACCCGGTCCAGCAGCTACTCTAAAAAATCTCATTTCCAAGTGGAGGAGGAGGACATTGAAAAACTTGAGATCAAGTGAGTTTTTTTTTTTTTTCATTCATTTGGGGTTTTTTCTCTCTCTCTCTCTCTCTCTCTCTCTCTCTCTCTCTCTCTCTCTCTCTCTCTCTCTCTCTCTCTCTCTCTCTCTCTCTCTCTCTCTCTCTCTCTCTCTCTCTCTCTCCCACTCCCTCGCTCTCTTGTTCCCCCTCTATAGTCTTGACAGAAGAAAAATTATTTCTTAACAACTTGAGGACAAAAAAGTGAATTTGGATTTGGTGTGTTCTGACTACTGATAGAGAGCCTTGGTTTCTGGTTAAGGATATGTGGGGCTTCCATCACAGTGGACTCATAGCTCACTGGGTAAGACTAGACAGAGTCAAAGGTAAACACTCATGCATGGTTTTGAGGTTTGGATTTGAGGTGGTGTCATTGCACGGGTATTGTATTGACGTTTATGCACCAAGCAGGTAAGCACCACTCAGGAGTGACAGTTATTTTGTCCCCTTTGCCATATTGGAATTGGGTGGTTATGTGTTTGTGCTGAACACACACACAAGCAACAAATGTTGTGTCTTACTTGATGCACATGTGGTTTTGATGTTGTTTAATACGTTATATTCATAGATGAAATGCGTTGTTTCACTTCTTATCCTCCACCTTTGCAGAGTTGATTTGTGGAACAATGAGAATCTGGCTCAGGATGTGTTTCTGGGGGAGACGCGGGTCCCCGTCAAGATCCTGCGAAGTGACCACATCCACAAAGCCTGGTAAGGACGAGACAGAAGAAAATGTCGTTTAATTTCTAACATGTACCATCCGCAATGAATGGAAACAAACAGATAGAAGAGCAGCTCCTGTCACATGAGTTACACAATTTGCTACATACGTCAGACCTCTTCTTTCACAAAGTCTTATTCAGTCAAATCGAGACACACACTGCTACAATCTGCTGAACACAGTATTAGAGTATTTAAACATTCATAAATCCGTTTAGACAACATAAAAAAAGACTCCTCTTATAACTCCAGATCTCGTGTCATATCCATCTGATTGAATGAGCTCTTCTGACTGGTGAACATCCAGACCCTTAATATTTGCACAGTTTTAATTTGGACTCACGTCAGACTTTGATTTACAAGGTGGGGTTCAAATACAAGTTTATTCTTTATAATTTGATTATTTTAGGCACATAGTCAAGAAATGATTTTGTTTTGTCTTTTTTTGTGCGCAGCTAAACTTACAAAAGTAATTATGAGCAATCCACACATAAGCATACAGATATTAACAGTGTGTTACACCCCTATTATCTGTCTATCTGTCTTAACACTAATCTTGCATGTTTAAAAATCGATTTGCAGAACCAAATCATTTTGTTCTAATGTCATAATTAAAGAAGCTTGAAAAAGCTGCCAGTCTGCCACACTCTCTTAAAAGCTTCATACTGTCAAATCTTCTCTCATACACAGGCCTGTTGTTCTGTCCTGAAGGCTTTCATGTACTACGAGGGCTGAAAATGAAAAGGCCCATTTTAGATTTCTGGGGGAAGATAATATGAAACTCCGAGACCTGTGCTGCATACATAGACCAGTATTGGCTCAAGTTTATAACTACCAAAGACCTGATGATTTTTTTTTCTGTGGTTTTTGTTTTAGTACAGATAGGGACCCGTCATCTTGGTTGAAATTATTGGAAAGTGCAAACATAAAGAAGGGACAATGAGAAAAATAAGTCCAGGTTGTTATTTTTGTATCCAGAACAAATTCTGATGTGTTTGTGTCTTAAAAAAAAAGTATTAGATTTTTTTCATTACACAAAATCAGGCAGAAACTGTCACTCTGATGTCATGACTCAGTCACCTTCCTCTTAACTAGATCAGGTCTTTACAGGAGGTTAGGTGGAGCCTCTTACATTGGAATCTTTGTCTTTAGGAGCTGCATCCTGCTTATCCATTATAACAACTTGTACTGTTAAGTTCTCCATGCCAAGAAACAGGTGATTTGAAACTCTTCCTAGATTTCTCAGTGTTCAGCAGTTTTTCCATTGTGTGGGTGTTTCCTTGCTTTGCGTCAGTGTAGGTGATGTGGGATTATGCCAGATAGCAATCTGTTGGTACATGAGGGCTGTGAGTTGAGTGCGTGGGTGGCTTTTTGCATGGTGGCAATACCTCATATCTTGTGTTTATGCTGGAAATCGTCCATGTAGCACACATAGAAACGGCTCAGCTTCATAGATTCGATGCAGGTGATCAGGTGACTTCTTCAGAGAAACGTCTCTGTGCCTGTTTACCATGATTACAGATAAAGCAGCTTATGAACGAACCTATAGTACATAGCTGCAGCTTTTGAAGTACTGCAGCTCAACTCTACATTGAATCATTTTGTGCTTTGCTCCACCTGTTGGCTTCTAAGGAGATGTGCATGCAGCAGACAGATGAACAATATCCTCTTCAAACAAAGTGAACAAACCCGTTGATTTTAAGCGGAAATTATCCAGTCCACCACAATTGTTAAAACAACTGTAAAGTAAGTAGATGGCAAAGACAGCTGTCTGATTTATGTGGCATATACAGGAAGGCATTAGCTTTTTCAAGTAGTACTTAGAAACCCCTTTAACATAAAGTTTGAGCTGCTTTCATCTTAGTGTCGCTTCAAGGTGACAGTAGATACAGTAAAACATCTTCTAGTTGTATTAATGAAATCTGCAATTATCTATTGTGCATACATTATACCTTATACATTATACACTATTTGAACAGAAGCCCTAACATGTATGGATGGTTTTGTTTTCTGTTTATAAGGAGCTCTCATGCTCGTCGATTAAACCTGTAAAAGCTTTGCGATGCTAATTTCTGTCTAAAGGCAACACTGCCCCAGTTAGAAAACAGCGATATATAAGCTCCAGTGTTTACATAAAGTCTTCCATTTAAATATTACTATCTATACTGCAGTATTTCTCATGTTCATTGTCTCTATATGGTGCTTATGTATCTCTGTGCTGGTTTTATAACAGCTTTTTAAACAGCGCAGTGTGTTCGTTCACAGCACTGTGTCCAGAAACTATTTTCCAACCAACATGTTCATCCTGTCATTTTTTAATGCAGAAAGGTAGTTGTATGCATAACTTATCACATTTTTTTTTTTTTGCCATGGTTTTCCCATGTGTAGATACTCTCTGTTTTCCCTTTACCTGTCTTTTTTTTTTTTTTTTTTTTTTTTGCCTGTAATCAATGACAACAGGATCAGGATCCGCATCTATTTCCTTATTCATTTGGCCTGTATGTAATTTTATACACAGTATACAGTGTACTGTATAGATGGCTGTGGTTGTGATTAGTGTTCATAGCGATGCAGAGAGCAGTAGTTCAGGGCGAAAACATTTACTGTTGCGTTATCTGGAGGTGAGCTGAAGTGTCCAGCCTGTGGCATAACTGACGCTCACTCACCTGCGTTCCTCAAACAGTTGATCTTAGTGTCTTCTGAGGTTACATTGCAAAATCCTTCTGTTTTCAAGCAGCCTGGTTAATTATGGTGACGTACAGTATTGTTTCCTCACTGCACAGCGCACTAACAAGCCGTTTGTCTCCCTGTGGTGTAACAGGTATCTCCTCCAGCCTAAAGGGAACGGCAGCAAGTCCAAGTCTGATGATTTAGGATCCTTGCGTTTGAAGCTGACCTACATAGAAGACACGGTGCTGCCATCTGCCTGCTACACACCACTCTGCAACCTGCTGCTCAAATCCCCAGATGTGAAGGTAAGGCAAAAGCTGAAGTTGCAGTGGATCCTAAGATGGAGGGAAAACCTTTAAGAAAGAATTTACACAGATGTACATTTTTAATTTCAGGCAATATCAGAATCTAGGCCAGTGTACACTGAAGTCATTCTGGGGCTCCTATTATATATAATCCTGGTGGTGTAGCTTTCCTTTGTGTAGATCAGTCACCTCAGTCTAATGTTTCTGAAATATATTGATAAATAATCATGGAATTGATTAGTCGCACATTGTTTTCTGTCGCGATTACTTCCCTCTCTCTTCAATTGTTGCATTTCCCCTTTTCACCCTCGCACTTTCTGCTCTCTTTGCCTCCTTCAGCCCATCTCAGCGTCAGCAGCACACATCTTGGGGGACATCTACAGAGAGCGGTATGAGGCTGTTCTGCCTGTGGTTCGACTGCTGCTCCACCACAATCGCTTTGTGCCTTTTGTCTCTGCTGTGGCAGCGCTAGAGCTGGACAACACTCAGTGAGTCCTCACACATTCATAACACACAGTACAGGTACACACTGGTATGTAAGCAGACACATGTACAGATAGATGTCATGACCACATTGTTACTTCTCTTATTTTTTTAAAAGCTTTAAGCTAAGTTCCTTTTTTGACAACCTGTGTATGTGACTTTTATTAGTTTCTGCCATCATGAACAAAAATTAAGTTAGAAAACAGGAAACAGCGCTGGAAATTAATAGACATTTAAAGATGGATTCTCATCTTACCTTTATTTTAACTTTAATAAACTTGTAAAGCTTAGTATGTAGATAAAATGCCTTACCTGGACACTAAAAGCTGTGGAGGGAATGATGGCCATAACAACAAAAATAAGACCAAGGTCATAAAAACACAGATTTTTTTTAAGAAGGGCTGGACTGTCAAAACTTTGAATACTGAAACACCAGGAGTACTTTAATGAGGATTACCTCATTTGTTTCAAAACTATGACAATATAAAAAAAAAATCTGTGAAATGATGTTAAATGAATGATGTTTCTTTTTGTGGTCAAAAATGGTTTTAATATCTGGTTGATATTTTTGTGCCCATACAGGGAGGCTAACACTATATTCCGTGGCAACTCACTGGCAACACGCTGCATTGATGACATGATGAAGATTGTGGGAAAGAATTACCTGGCAGTTACCCTGAAGCCTGTAATAGATGAGGTATGACTAAGATTACTAACAAGGACACACACACACACATACACACACACACACTCACACACACACACACACACACACATACATACATACACATATCCAGAATAGGCATGAGTCACTGAGGTCAATATGGAAAACTCCACTTTCCACTGTAAGCAAGCAGATGTGCAGATGTAATTGGTAGGTTTGGAGTTTTTCCAGGCTACTGCATAAACCATTTGTTGAAACTGTTTTTCTATAATTTCAACTACATAGCATTACTATAATGAAATTGTAATTTTTTTGATCAGTCATATTTTTTTTGGCTTTTTGATGGTCTAACCATATGCCATATTGTATGTTTGGTTGTCTTCATATTTAGTCTTTTATTTTTCATTCTATCTTTATTAAATGGAGTATTTAATTCTAAATTCTGAATGCAAACTCTCGGTCTTCATCTCTCATTACTACATTTGGCCTGAACCTAATTCTTTGTTGTTGTTGTTTTTTCCTTTAACCTTACATAGATTTGTGAATCCAACAAAACATGTGAGATAGACCCTATTAAACTAAAGGAAGGTGACAACGTAGAGGTCAACAAGGTAAATGTACACGTCTCTTACAAACCTGTCTACACACAGGCTAATAACATACTGTCTATGTCTCATGAAACAAAATTTCTGTCTTTATTTTGTCTTTATTTTAAGATGTTTGTCTGTTTCTATATGTAGAGTAATTAGAACCAATGTTCTTGTAAACTCTGCAGGAGAATCTACAGGGTTATGTCCATAAGGTCTTTTCCTCCATCACCCAGTCCAGTTCCAGCTGTCCCACACTCATGTGTGACGTCTTCAGGTCACTGAGACAATTGGCCTGCAAACGTTTCCCAGGTAAAAGCAAGAGCCTGTATGAGAGACTGTTGTGTCTTTGCAGCCACTTAGTCAGAGAAATGACAATCCAGGCATCTAAAAAAAACCCATCCAGACACATGTGCATATAAAAAAATCTGTGTATATCTGTCATCAATTTACTAATAAATGTGTTGTCTCTATATTTCTATTCCTCTGAGACAGTTCACCAGTTTATTGTTCCAAATTATTTTACAATTTATTGACTCATTTCAGTCTCTATATATTCATATTCATTTTCTGATGTTTTTATTTCACTTTGTGCTGCATTATTTAGTGTTTATACCTTATATAAGTCTTTTAACAGATAAAATGACTGAGCTTTTACAGTCTGTTCATGTGTTAGTATATATGTCTACCACAAGGTGGAGCCAAAGTTTAACAGGAGTTTCATCTTTAGTAGTTTTTTTTTTTTTTTCTGTGCTCTCCCTGAATAGTCATGACAGAAACATTCATAGTAAGCTGATGGTAATAAAGGTCACACTCTGGTCGCACAGTTTTTCCGAATGCTTTGAGACACTTGCTTATTTCTTGTTCTCTTTCTCTTGACAGCTGACCCTCATGTTCAGTACTCAGCTGTTAGCAGCTTTGTGTTCCTGCGGTTCTTCGCTGTTGCTGTTCTCTCTCCACACTCCTTCCAGCTCCGCTCCCATCATCCTGTAAGTGCATGGCCCCTGGCAACACAACAGACCAAATTCACACTTGACTTATACATTGCTGTTTATTGCATATTTTCTTCAATTTTAGGATCCTGAGATTTCCCGAACACTCACACTCATCTCAAAAACCATCCAGACTCTGGGCAGCTGGGGTAGTTTGTCAAAAAAACTGGTAAGATTAACAGTAGCTATATAACAGTGAGAATGATAAGAAGGATGAAGAGTCCTTCTTATCGTTCTTCTCATGATGAGGAGACTTTAGTCTGGTCTGAGCAAAGTGTAATTTTTTGTTTAGAAGAATGCTGAATAATGTTAAAAATACTGGGGTAACGAGTAGGTAACGACTAGGACTTGATGTTTTTGATTATGTTGTAGTTAAATAAAAAATTTTTATACCTGTCACATGTCTCTTTTCAGTCTAGTTTCAAAGAAACCTACATGTATGACTTCTTCAAATCATTCCAAGAGGACAAGTGTATCGAGAAAGTTAAAAAGGTACTTGCTGATATACTCAAAGGTCTGCAAAATCTGAATGTTTCTGTATTTGTTCATCATTTCGAATGGGTAGCACTGATATCGATGTCGATTCTGTTTTCCAGTTTCTGGATGAGATCTCCTCCAACGTCAGCAAGGAGTCTAGTGGGCTGGAGGATGCCTGGGTTCTCAAGGAGGGGTGAGTGTTCATTAGGAGCCTAAGGAGGAAAGGTCATGTTTCTTCTTTAACCATTCTTCCCTACAAAATTGAAGCGGTCTGCTTTTATTGTGACCGTGTCTGAAGTGCTTTAACAGACTTTAACCAGGCAGACATTGTAATGGCCTCATACAGAGCAGATGAGAAAGCAGTGAGTTTGCCACCTGTAGTAAAATAGACTGAATAGTGAGGCAGAAACACTAGCTGGCCGGAAGTTTAGGCAAATTTTTCTCTCTTCAGAAGAGGGCAGTCATTGTTGTAAAGTATGAAACCCAGCCTATACAGCCTTAACAGTTTCCCTGAGCTACAGTAAATAATCTATCAGAGTGAACATGAGATACTAAAAGAGTTGCAATAGGCACATTAAAAAAAAGAATTATAGTGTTCTACTTAGTATGGGTGAAGCAAAAGTGCTGGATCTTAGATTTTCCAATATTCAGTTTAGACTCAGGCATTGATTGACAAATTTTCTCAAGACATAAAATGACCATGAAACTGTAACAAACGTTGTTGCTTTAAGCTTTGAATCAGATCAGATTTTCCATTGTAACTGGAGCCTTGTTCCAGCATTTTTAAGTCAGATCAGATTTTTTTTTTCTTATCCACAGTCATCAAAGTTTTTTTTTTTTTTTTTTTTTAAACATAACAAAAAGAAAATGCTGAAAATAAAGTTTTTGAGCCTCAATCTTGTGTATATACCTACAGGGAAGTACAGAAACGGACCCAGGGGAGAAAACGCCTTGGAAAGAAAAACTTCAAAAAAAGATGGCTCAGAGTGACCAGCAGGGAGCTCTCCTACCACAAACATAAAGGTGAGACCAGTATCTATCATTTAATTACTCCAACCAAATACATTTTTCATCAAAACTTGTAGTGTAATATAAGATAAAACTAACAGGAGATGACTTTGTGCTGTTTTCTATCACAGTATTATTTGTAACACTTCCATTACTAAAGACTTTTCCAATCCTACATATAGTGAAGGTGCCAATTTATTGGTTTGATTTAATGCTAAAAGTTAAGATGTTCATAATATCATGTTTTACGTGCCTATTAAAAGTAACAGAAAATATTGATAAAGTTTAATTAATTCACAAAATACTCAAACTTATGACCAAATTAGTTGTGATGGAAACTGCTCCTCAGTACCACCCCCCAAGGTCACAAGTCGGTTAACTGTGTTTACTCTGCCTTAACTGATTGATGACATTTGGGTCACTATCACACATACTTAAGTTAGGAGTGCTTTTTAAAGTAAATAAAATCCTCTCACGGGATTTCAGGAAATGGTGAAGAGTGATGTGTGATGATAAATTAGAGTAATTTTCTGTATTTGATTATGACTTGTGGTGTCAAGATATATCTGGAGGAACTTGTGTCACTACTTGCAACAAACGCACACAAATTCTAGAAAAGATAAAGAATGAATACAAACAATTAAGTGTATGAAATCAAAAACAGTCCAGATGCTCTCAGGAGAAGCCACCATAAGAAGTGGGATGTTTGAAGGGTGCACATGGGTCTGACCCATCACTTAATGACATACTATGCTAGTGTACTGCTAGCATAAACATTTATCATGGGAGGCACCTGGCAATGTTCATTTCAACAGTAATTAATGTTATTATTCTCAGGAAAACAAATGCATGTACTATTAAAATATTGAAAGGTGTTGACCTTCACATACACCTTCTTTACATAGTGTAATTTGTGTTTAACACCAAACAGCAGGCTAAAATATAGCTCATTGATACTTCTGACAGTCCTGTGTATTATTCTTGACATAAACTTGACGGAATAACTTCTGCTTTCCAGGGAAAGAGGCCCTCTGCACCATCAATGTCAAAAATATCCAGGCGGTGGAGAAACTGGATGAAAGTGCCTTTAACCGCAAAAATGTAAGCCAATTCCCCTCAGATGCTCAGTCATCACTTCTAAAATCTGGCCCCCTTGTAATAGAAATTTTAGCCTTAGAACAATTTCCTGAAGTTAAAATAAACAAATGATGAAATATTATATTGATAGTCTTGTGAGCGTTCGCTGACATCTGCTAAATGAGTGTAAGTGGTTTCAAACTTTTGACGTCAGCAGACGAGTAAGTTGTTTGTCACTTTAATGTGAAACAAAATTGCTCTCAGGTTGTTGCAGGTGAAATGTTAAAGTCATCAGTGGTCTGAGGGCAGCTCCAACCTGTTTGTTACTATTTTACATGAGATTGTAAAAGTGTTGTGGAAATTACCTGGAAATGATATCTTTAACAGAGTGGGGGGAAAAAAAACTTCTTTGCTCTCTCTCTCGTGTCAGATGTTTCAGGTGGTCCACTCTGAGAAGCCTCTGTACGTGCAAGCAGGAAACTGTGTAGAGGCCAGTGAGTGGTTGGAGGTCCTAGGCCAGGTCAGTCGCTGCAATGAGGGACGCCTAGCCACCTTCCATCCATCAAATTTCACCAGTGGAGCCTGGCAGTGCTGCAAAAACCAGAGTAACAACGCACCAGGCTGCAAGCCCTGCACAGCGTGAGTCTTTCCTCTGCATTGTCATCATCGTCATCATCACCACCAGCAGGAAAAGAAGTATAGCATCTATAAAGTATTCAGTATTCTTGCTGCTCTTTCGTGGCGCATGTGTTGCAGATCACAATAAACACTTCATAAAATCGTTCACTGCCGTTTTGAAACCCTGCCACTGGTGGTAAATTTGACCAATCTTGTAGGTGCTCGGTCCAAGAGTAGAGCTGTGGGGAATGAAAACAGTCACGTTGTGTGGAAAGAGCAGATTTGAAAACACTCAACTCAAAAATGGCAAATTGACAAAGTTGGTGGGCTATTTTACAGCAGCTGCAAAACACTCGCCGTCTGTTGCCATAAACAGATTGGTTTTTTTTTTAGTTGTGGATCGACACATGAAAACCTAAGAACTACCATGTCAACACAGCAATTTCTTTAAGTTTGAAATGTTTGAAAAATTCTCCCTTTTCCACTGCTGGAACTCTTTCAGGGACCTTTTGTAGGAAATAAAGCAAGCTTTATTTTATGATTGTTTGAGTACAGTTTTGTACTACAACATAAAATAATCAGAAAATGCTCATTAGGCCCTCGCTACTTTGGAGACAGGCATGTGGCCTTTTTGATTTTTACCCCAATAAATATCCAATTAATTTAATTGTTTTGTGTCATACACTAACTAGCAAAGTGCATAGTATAGAATAAATATAGAATAAACAACATTTTTATAGGAATGATTCTGTTCCAAGCTTTTTGATTGATCCATACAGGCGGATTCCACTGCATTGTTCTCTCTGTTATTCATTCCTGCTCAGAATTTTTCCTTCACTTCTCTTCTCTCCTGTTTCAGCACCATGCTGGCCAACCTGCAGCTTGACATAGACTGTGACCGGGAAACAGAGAGAATTTTCTCCCTTCTTTCTTCAAACGATACCAAACTCCAGGACATGGAGGGTCAGTGCCTGTTCATAAAGTACTGAGTCTGTTTATTAGCAGGTTTTGATGATTACACTCAAATGTTAGAAAAACTGCTCCAGAGCATTATTGGATTCCTGGAACATTGCGTCATTGTTAGAGATAATGATCTGTATTAATGATTTATACATTACATGCGTGACCATATATCTACACTTAAGTAGACCTTGTGAAACAGACATGACATGACATGACATGTGTGTCATTGTTTCAACTGCTAATTCAAAAAAGACAGTGCCGACCTTCAGGCTATTCATCCAACACATCTATGTTGGGCGAATAGCCCTTTTATACATAGTCTTTCCATTTTGTATTTGAATACTCTTGACAGGCAAAAACAGTCACCTGATCTCAATCCAACTGAGTGGGTGTCTCTTACTGAAGTTTGCTTATATGTTTGTTTGGATCCCCATTAGCTGCTAAATCATAGCAGCTATTCTTCCTGGGGTCCATGAAGATCAGACTAAAGGCAAAAGTTCAGCAAAACAGTCAAGATTTGAAGATGGTTATATTACAGAACTGACTTATGTTAACTTGTCTAATTAATTCACTTCGCTAAAACTGGGAGACAATGGCTACAGTGCCTACAGTGTTCATCTGATGTCATGTTTTCTCGCTGTTTAATTTAAGAGTGTTAGAGGCGTTGGATTAGAGGCGACAGTGTCTCACCATTTCTGTAAATTTTCAAACCCGACAATTCAAACTTTGCACACAAAACGAGTGTCTGAACTAGTTCTGATTGAGCACAACCCGACCCTTCAGCTGCACTGTCTAATGATATTTGTCCTCTGCATAGATGCATGTGCCAGCATGGCGGTGTACCAGGGCCCTCAGCGGGAGCAGGAGGAATACTCCAAGTTCACCATTCAGGAACCCAAAGAGACCTTTCAGACACTCAAACAGCTCCGCAACGTCATGGAGGAACTTCAGATGCAGCACAACATCAGGAACGACACCACAGCGCAGTACGGCAGCCTGTAAGTCTGCACTGCTGTTACTATGTGTTACATTGGTAATGTAATACATATGTAACGCGTGTTTGTGCGTATTGCTTGATCAAACTTTTTATGGATTAATTTTCAATCCGTATGTGGTGCATGACTTTGAATGTGTAACTTTTTATTTGTAAATGTGATGTGAACGTAGCTGCACCTTATCCTTCCTGTTTCAGGGACAACCCGATAGTGGGGAAAACCTCCTAACCAGGACGGGCAGGTGTGGCCTGAGACGACCATACCAGCAGGTGACAGTACACCACAAAGAGCACCATAGTGACATGCTGGTGTCTTAAAGGAGCCCCGGGAATTTGTCCCACCGAGAACAGCTGCTGCATGTTCAGGAGAAGAGCAACTGATACACCCTGACCTCCAGACATCATGACTCCACTACAGCAAACGGGAAGTGGATGGATTGTGAGCTTTTCCAGGATCTCTCCTCGTGTCGCCCTCATCACCCCCACACCCCCTCCACTGCAGGTCCCTTATAAAGACACTCTTTCCTTGTCTTAACTTACGTCCTCTCTTGAGTCTCCAGCTGTATGAAAAAGGCATCATTAGATGGAGTGTGAATAGGCTGCTATTTTTTTTATTCACCCAGTTTTATATCAACAGCTGTGATGATACTCTCACAATCTTTTAACATTTTGCTCTGACATCTCTCTTTGGCGTTGATTGATAATCATCATTCTGGGGGATCGTCCTCTACTTGTGCCCGAGTACACTTATATCTCTCTCCATTCTTGGTGTCCTTTCTCCTCTGAACAAATGGATATATATTTTCAGAGTACAGTTAAGTCGATGAAACCAATCTGCCTTACTATGATGGATGTTTCTTTCACATTAAATGCTGAGGGAATAATGCAGAAGCACTTTAAATATTTGGAGCACTCCAAATGTAAAATGATTAGATACTTGGTATCAGTCTCCCCCCTTTTGATCAGTTACATGATCTCGAGTACATTTTTGTTTCATTCCTGTACAATAACATTGATAGCCTGTAGTTTTTAAGATATTTTTCTTGACCAAAGACAATTTCATAGGTTTGACTTGAAAAAAAATAATGTATTTTGAATACAAATGTTTTAAAAGTGGATATTATGGAATATATATATATATTTGGTTTATCTGTACTTTTTTTTGCTAACATTTTAGTGACTTTAGACAAGTATGCTTTTCAGTTTTGAGTCCTGATAGCACATGACTGTGGTGTAGAGTTGTATTTCGCTGTGATTGTGAATCGTATTGGTACGGTGTGCATCGGATCTGTGCTGTCATGTCGAGAGCCTCGCAACATATCTATAGTGGTTTATGTAAGAAATGATGGAGGAATCAATAAGAGTAACAAATGAGCCCTGTTATCCCTAAATTGGTGTCGACAATCGATCAACACGGCAACCAACAAACACATCATGTCCTTGTTTTTTTCTTTATTTTCCAAACCAGCAGTACTGCGCAGCTCCAGCTGTTGTACTTTATGGCTTTAGAGAATTTGTTTGAAATGCGACACTCTGTGGCTTAGAGTTAAAAGTTGTGTTTTTAACTTTTCCACAGCTGTAAGTCGTAGCACTCCACTGCCAGTCAAGAAAAGTCTATGTAGTAAACAAGTTAAAATAAAAAAAAATAAATAAAAGATACATGCACTGATAAGTCACTTTTTAAGTGACTCATTTCCTAGTTTTAATCCCAACAGTCATACGTTGCAGACGTAGCACTGCATCTGATCTTTACAGTAACAGAAAAGAAAAGAAAGATATTTGGTTGATTATTTTTTTAAACAATTCGGTTTATTACACAATAATGAAATGGATGTTACATGATATTGATACTGAAACCAAAACCTCAAAATTTTAGGTTGCGACTTTTTAAACATTTTTACTGTTTTTCTATCAATCGACTCATCGATTAATCAACAAATCCTTTTTGTGCTGGAGAAAACTGATAAAAAAAATCAAACCTCAATTTAATCCTGTTTCTCTAATGTTTTTTTTTTTTTTAGCATAATTTGCCCATTTGAACAATGAAGTGTTTAAACAATAAAAAAAAGAAACTTGAACTTATTTTAACAACAAAAGTTGAACATTTAATGCTGATAATACAGGGTTAACTTGTTTTGTTTGTTTTTTTTGCTTGTGGAAATAAGTTGTTTTGTGTTGTGTTTGGTCCGTCATATATTTCTAACATGCATGTCTTGTATATTTAACAATATATTTTTATAGGAAAGCGTTTTTGTAACTTTTTTTTAAACACTGATTCAATGTGTTGCTATACTGGTATGGTACCGTGTTATTTGTCTGCAGCACTTCTTTGAGGCCGGCCGCTTTTTCTTTTTGTCCCTTTACTGACTGTATGTGGTTGTAGCTGCTGCCAAACCTCTACTTATATCGATAGCTCAACACAGAGTTACTGAAGTGAATTTTGTGAGTGTGATGTCCCACCGGGCTGCAGCTGGCACTGAGTCTGTTCACATGAGGCTGTAGGTGAGTGAACTGCCTAATCAGAGCCAAAATACAAATGTAAAATGATTTTAAGAAATTGATCATTGGATGAACTTTGTCTGTGCTTGTGAAAAGTTTTCAGTTGGACAAAATTGAAAGAAATAACTTCTCTGAACCAAATTTCAACAACGATATAATCAGAGCATAAAGCTGTTGTATACTGTGTAAGCTTGCATGTCAATTCAATTTTAATAAGAGCCGGTGAACTAGCAGTTGACGTCCTCTGGCCGTGTGCTCATTTTCATACAAAGGTGAACATGTTTTGGGTTTTTATTTCCATTCACTTGGTCACTGAATTATACTTTTTTATCTGCTTTTAATAAGAGTTTTTTTTTTTCTCCATTTGTTTTCCCATGTCCGTGCATTGTCATGAAATTAAAACGGTCTTTTTCAGTTTATGGATGAGATGCATGTGGAAACGCACGCAGCAGCCTGGTAGTTGTTGAAGTGCATTAGCACAGCAGCCGTCTTGACTTTCACACGTAGGACCGTGGCCAAAAGGATTAAGATTAGGGTTACCAAATGTTACCAAACTGAAAGGGAAATATTCATATTTGCTTTGAACTATGAGATGAATAACATCAGTGAAGGTAGTAGCCAACTCGTACATCTGATGTGGGTTTCTGAGGTCCTTATATTAATTATGGAAATGAGAGACGTTTTATTTTCCATACATGGTCTATTTTGTGTCATTTTAAAAGGATTAAAATAAACACTTTGCCAATGATTCTCCTATTTGTGACATTTCTGCAAAAAGCCAAATATGAAGAAAGTACTTCTGAACATTGTAATAGATGAGACATCAGGTGGTAAAACTAGTTGTTACCTGCTAGGTTTTAGTCTTTTAGTGTGATGGATTTTGTGCTGCTGTATGACTTATCTTTTCTGTGGAAGGAATCTGGATTATCTCTATGAGTAATGAAGTAAAGCTGATCACATCATCACTAAGTTCATTTGAATAAAAAAAAAACAAACACATTTTTCCCTGAGAACAGTTTATCGTTATAATAAAAAAACAAAGCATTAACAGAAGGACAGGAAGGAAAGTTATTGGGTTTGAGAAGAACTCTACATCCCACTGACCCCTTTAAGTTTTGCTTTTGTTCACGTTCACCCCTTTCATCCCTGTTTTATTCTTGAAAACGGCAATAAATTTAATTAAAATTCGATAACCAGCTGTGAAAATATAGGCCTGTGATCTTGCAACTGTTTTAAGCTTTGTGTGGAATTAATTATACTTCATACTTTTATGGGTCATCTGTCTTATGATCTTCAAGAGGAAACAACACACACAAACACACGGCTCATAGACAAGGGCTCACCATTTCTAGATTGTTCCACCTCATGTTTAGAAGCTGCAATCTGATCCTCTGAGCAGCACAAGAATGCAGGTAAATCATGTTTCTGCCAGTTGTCACCTCCTGCTTCACCTACCCTGGGCAGAGACATGCAATAGGTCTCCCAGCCCTCCTACATGGGGGTAAGCGCCACAGACTGAAAGAGACTCCAAACCACGAAATGCTTTGCTTGTAGTCGTTTTGCATCTTTTTGATTTCATTTGTGTCTCTTTGAGGTCATTTGTTTCTCTGTGTGGTCGTTTTGAGTCTTTTTTGTCATTTTTTGCATCCCTTTGTGGTTGTTTTGTGTCTCTTTACGATCATTTTGGATGTCTTTGTAGATTCTCTTCGAGGTCATATTGTCTTTTTCTGGTTTTCTTTGTGGCCCGTCTGAGTAGCTTTGTAGTCATTTGTGTCTCTTTGGGGTTGTATTGTGTCATACTGGACTGGTCTTGTGTTGCTTTGTGGTAGTTTTAAATCCCCTCTTAGTTGTTTTGCATCTCTTCGTGGTCATTTTTAGGCTCTTAGTGGTGGTTTCTGTATATCTTTGCCATTGTCTGATTTTTCAACAAAAAATGTTAGCAATCACTTCAAACAGAGGCTCCAGACCAGGAGGCCCCTGAACCCATGGACCCCTTGGCCTGTGTGCAGTAGGCTTGTTCCATGCTCCGGACAACAGGGAACACATACCACAACTGAAAGACTGTGAATCTGAAAAAGAACAGAGAACAGTTCTTTGAGCTAGTCAGTATTAAAGTGATGAACCGTAATTTTTATCAGTAGCGATGGGTGGAGGAAAGTTTGGGATTGACTCTTTGTTTTGCATGTTTTTGTTCCCAGCTTTGGTCGTAGTGCAGGTTACAGGAATTTAATGATTCTTCCAGACTCTCGTGAACACAGAGGTCACAGAGGTCACAGACATTATGACATATCAGCCTACTTAACTGTGTCTTACACAGAAATGATGAAGTGATATTAGTCATTAGACCAAAATTACTAAAGATATTCAACAAGTTTTTACTTTTAGGTGAAGCAACAACCTTTAACATTTAATAGGCTCACGTGTCCTTCATCTTCAGCTGTCTGAGACGATGTGACAGGCTCTTCTGAATCCTCACAGGAACTCTAAAGACATTGGAAATACAAAAATAAGATTTCAAGATTTCACATTTGAAGGCAGCACACATCTTGTGATTGAAGTTTGTTATAGTTGTGTATTAAACTACTGTCTGCACCATCTTAAGCTTGTGTTTCCTGCAGAAAAATACCTTGTCATACACACAGGATATACCAGAATGGCAATCTGTTAAGTCAATGCAAATTTATGTATGTAAATGTTTGTTTTCACAGTGATACTGTATCAGTGTTAATGATAATTTACTGGCAGACTTTTAGATACTGTAGTTTCACACTGAAGCCAGCTGTACACTGTATTGTTAGGAGCTAAACTGCTACGTAAAGAAAAAAAGAGCCACAAAAATGGATTATTTTACTCTCTATGACAAGTCTCCCGAGTTGATTGTAATTCCTTGTGCTCATTGCAGCTGTTTTCTAGTCTTTTCACACTTTTCTCTCCTCTCCCCCAAACTGACAGGAGGAGACTGACTCCTGCAGTTGTGTAAAAACTGGAGCATGCAGCTTGTGAAGAATCTCATTTCTCATGTGCAGAGATTGTTTTTTCCCATTTCAACAGTAATATCAATCTACTGCACCCCAATGTGAAAAAATAATCATAACAGTAAGACTGGGCCATATGGCAAACAGAGCAGCTTAAGGCTTTAACTGTGTGTAACTGGAAATACATGCATATACAGTCAATGTATTATCAAGATTGATTTTTTCTGTTTGTCTCTGCACTCCAGCACCTTAGTGCTGGTTAAAGTTGTGAGTTTTAGCTTTATTGGTGTTTGAGGGCTTAGAGATCAATATTCACTATTGATAAAGATTAAATATGTACAACCTTTCATAGCCATTTCCTAAATTTGAGGCTGATGCAGCATGACAATAACACCATAGGGTTCTGGGGTTGATCCTACTAGCATAGTTTTGAGAAAGTCAGTCACTTGACCTCAAACTGATTGAACATGGGTTTCAATGAAGAGGAGACTGTGAACAAAAAGCCCCTGAAACCTGCAAAGTCTGTGGTCTGCAGGCTTCAGTTGGTCACTGACTAAAAAGCGTTTGCCACCAAATATTGACTATGATGACTTTATTTAACTCTATTTTAACCCATTTTTAGCTTCCTAAAATTGGAATAAAAAATTACTACATTTGTTAAACTGTTCTTCTGATGTGAATGTTAACACTCAAATTAAAGCTGCCACAGCCCCTTCAGCTCTTTAAAAAGATATCTGGTATTATCACATATTAAGCATTGTATTACAGTACACTGTGCTGTGTGGGCTGTTGCACTCCAACTTCTCATTACCTTAGAGGCTGTGTTTTTCACCCATGTTTGTTGGTTTGTTTGTTTATCAGCAGAATCACACAAAAAAAGTGCAGTTCTCCTTCATTGGATAAAAGCATCTGCCATATGAGTAAATACATTGTAATGTAAATGTAAAAAAATAATGGACTGATTTGGACCAAACCTGGTGGAGGAATGAGGCATGGGCCAGGGATATGCCCATTAGATTTTGGTGCTGATCCAGTTGAAGAGTCTGATCCAGGAATTTCTTTTATCACATTCCTTAACATTGCGAGATAGGGAGATAGGAGGGAAATTGGCAGAGGTTGGCAGAAGTTGAGGATTAATCATTCAGACCTCCCACACAAAGTCATCACTGGGTCATTTAGATATTTTTGTCAGTTTCTCAGGAAATAATGTATGGCTCTTGATGTAAAAAAAAAAAAAAAAAGTTGCACATCGTCATGGTGTTGAGATCTATAAGGCTTTGTATAATTTGGTGCAGATCCAGATGATATCAGGGGCCTGACAGACGTGTAGGATTGTTTGGCCTTGGTGGAGGAATGCACTCTACTGAGTGCCACTCTAGTTTATTCTTCTCTGCCCTTGCAGTGCTACGAGAAACAAAAACTGGCAGCATTTTTCTGTGCCGGTAAGTTTGCTGCCTTGCCCCTGTGTGCTGTCCCTGGCAGCTGAAAGCATAGGCTCATAGTCACTTATGGATAATGAACTCACAGACAGTACTAAGGTCTAAGTGACATGTTCTGTTTGAAACACCCAGTGAATTACATACAGCCTGTGCAAAACGCTGTCGGGTCTAGAAAAACAACTGTGCAGTAGGCAGGAGGTATTTCAGAATTCCCACTTTTTTATGTATACAAATTATATGGTTTTGAGAATGTTGGCGTTTTTATCAAAAGTCCTCAAACCAAGCTATTGAGTTACAGGGTTCACTCAACCATTACAGTGTAAAACATACTTTCTTTATTTGTCAAATTGATCAACATGAGTTTTGACAAGGAGTAGCTCTACAGCCGCACAGATTGTGAGGTTTGTTTATGTTCAAGGTGGTCACAAACCTTCGGGTAACACAGTATAGTATGTACGATATGGTTGGTTTAGGACACTCCACTTTGTTTGACATCTATATGTTAAAGTATTATGGATGGAAGATATTATACCTCCGATATCCACAGACAAAACATTGGTTATGTTCTTGGTGCAGCTGGGTGCTCAGGGGAGCTACACACACCTTGTTTTATCTATTTTTATTTGATTTCAATCTATACTGTATTTTATTTTCTTCTCCTTCCTGATGCTCTTCTAAGTGTTGTTTTAATGTATTTTTATGCCTTGTGTAACTGTCTTTCAATCTTTTCTCTGTTTAAAAGCCGCTACACAAATAAACCTGCTTTGCCTACAGGGATACTCCTGGTTGAATTCCAACCCTGTCATATAGCAGCAGACAGGATCTCTACCAGCTGTGGGGCGCTGTACCACTGCTGACCCCACACTCTCACCTCCTGCGAGAGGGAAAACAATCCTACAGCCATCAGTGAAGAATCGCCTCTTTCTTCCAAAATGGCATTCCTGTCCAGTGTCTAAAGCAATATTTTGACATTTTAGGAAATACGCTTTTGGACAGAGCCAGGCTATCTCCCCTTGTTTCAAGCCTTTATGTTAAGCTAACTGGCTTTATATTTAGCACATAATTATCAGAGCAGATATGGAGTTAGTAGATTTTATAGATTATACCACACTGTTTGGTACATGACTTCATGCCTGAAAACAAATAATCTCTATTAGGAGGTCAGGGTGCTTTTTTTCTTGGGAAAGGCTTTGTTCCCATCCGTCACTGTCAGCATCGTCATATGTGGTAACACTCTGACCCACAAGCTGTCTTCACTTTTATTTGGAGGAAATCCAGTTCTAAAAGTCTCTGTGACAGGAAAATATTTGTTTTTCAAGGGTCAAATTTATACCACAGCATGAGATGTCTTCACGTTACAAGAGTACAAAGCTTCATCTGTGAAGGAAAACAGACACTCTAAAATGGTTGTTAAAACTTTAATGTAGAATACACACATCAAGCTGCAACACGCTGCTTTCTGATCCCTGAGGCCTGTGTACAGTCCTTATTGTGTTGTGATGCTTATACTTGTACTACTTCATCATTTCCTGTCTCCTGCAGCTATCAAACATAGCATGAAGGGTCAGGTCACCCAAAGGTCGGCCCGAAACGATGGAGGTAACATTTTGTTAGTGGTCATCAGACGGGTACAGTTACCTTAGAGCTGCACTCAACAGCAACATATCTGTCCTGAAATAATGTCCTGGATAATTTGGGCAATTTTTTTCAGTTTATATGTACAGAAAGGAGAGAGAGGCTGGGATTGTGGCTGAAAAGTGTGGTCTAACTGAGGTGTGTGTGTGTGTCTGAATACAGCAAAGTTTTTGTAGAAAACTGAGTTCACTTTATTCAATGGCACAGAAAATATACTGAGACAGAATGAGACGGTCCAACAGTGAAGTAACAATCTACCCTTGCCTTTCTCTTGTATAAATAAATGAGCAGAGCTTCCTTAGTGAGCCCTAAAAGTTGGTGTTGTCAGAAATCTGTGAATTCTTTAAACACAATGTAGCTACTAATACACATGCACTATATACTTTCTACATGTGTACCTACCACAGATGCACAGATGTACGCAAACAGGTCAGCATCATACTTATGTATTGCATTCCTCACAGGAATTGTTTTTACCATATGAACTTTTCTTTAGTGTGCTCTGAGAAAACAGAATCACTAATGGGTGTGGTTGGTGGAGGTCAAAAGAGTTGCTCAGTTGCACCAGCGCCCAATCCCAACAATGAGAGGAATAGGCTGTTTCCCAACATGCCGCAAATGCTTTTAGACTCTATGGTTGTCCACTAATGAAATGGGGTGCCTTCTCTTCTCTTCTCAAATTTTATTTTATTTTAAATCTGCAAAATGCAAATATTTCTTCTCTTTCAGGTTAATGATATATAAGCACATACAGCCATGAAATGGCAGTACTCTGAGCCTCCATGGTGCCCTGCTCTGTGACTGTGACTCATTTTTGGCTATTCTCACAGTGGTCTGGAAACGTCACAGCCTTCATATTCACAGTAAAACCACAAGGATATTTTGACTTTCATACTATATGGATGGTGAGGCTGTGTGACCCATCCTTATTTGACAGGGCCGCTGTGTTAGTCAGCACTCTCAGCGGTGGACTCCTTCCTGAGAGAAATGTTTCCCATGTTTCAACATGTGACTGACAGCCTGTTCTTAATCTGAGATCATTGGATTTCTCTCTTGAAATTTGACCAAAGCTTTGTAATTGCTTCTTTTATGTGTTACTGGAAGTCAGTAGAAACGAGGTGAATATAGCCAACTGGTCGAGCCTGTATTGAAATGTAGCCCCTTTTCTGTGGTCAGTTTTCACTCCCAAACCAAGTTTTACTGACAAATGTAGAAGATTTCAATCTTGTGGTCTTGTTGTTCTCTGCTTTGTTCTGCTCCTTAATTTGTTTCCATTGTCGGATCATCATGCACGTGAGATTTGGACCACAGATTAAAGACAATTACTGTGTAGATTTTACTAATATGACTCTAATTGGTGACTGACATGTGGTACTGGGTTCAAAACTGTTTCAATCCAGCTGCAGAGCTGCCCCCTTTCTGCTTACTACCATTATTTCCATGGACATGAGAGAGAGATCGAATAACAAAAAGCAGATTTAATTTAAATTGTCATCACTGAGGTTACTACGAGACCATATTAATATTCCAAGAACAAACTCAGTCAAA